TTCATGTTCTGAAACTGTAGCATATATAATGGCTTCATTATCAATGCCATCAAATATGTATATATATATAATCATGTAATCTCCCATCCGATTTCGCAATCAATTCTTCAAAACATTCATAACTAAAAATGCTCTTTTGATGATGTCAGTAGCACTAGTAAAATCAATGTAATGTTACACCGGAGTTCAATTCACGCAAAAGACAATCTTAAGGCAACCCAATATAATACTCCGTCATTTTCCTCCCTATTGAATGACAAAATAAAATAGAAAAGATCAAATTGCATAGTATAAAAATTATAGTTGAAAATTTATTACATATAGGACCAGTAAAATTTCTTTAAAGAACAGAGTCATATGCAAATGCGACCTAGCTAGCAGCAAAACCACCATAATGACAATAAGGGTCAAATTAAAATTTTGACTTGTTTTTTTGAAACTTATTGTTTTCGTTGAAAGATGAAAACTGCTCTGTTGTCTGTCAATCACATAATGTTGCAACCACTGTTTAAAGCAGCTTGTCCGATGTCAACACCAACATTCAATATCCCAACTACTTTCACAACCACATACTGAAATAATAAATACCCGATCACAAGGAATTAGTCAATAATTATGTAGGCAAAGGTCATGCTCCCTATTCTTTAGTTAAAATTTAGCTAAAACATATAAAAGTTATTTTAGGAACTCTATAAAATTTGAACTCCAATCATACTCCCTAAGTTAGGAAGTCATAAATACTATAGTTATTTTTTAATTCAAATGATTGGTTATCATCTCTATATTTTTTTTATTTTTTAAAAATAGCTTGTATTAATTAAAAGTTTAAACTATGTATAAAATGAAACAGCATTACATTATAAGGAGTCACTAGGAGTCATTTCTCTCTCCTCAGATTTAGGAGTTCCTAGAGGTCTCTCTATTTTAGGAGGTGAATAGGGAGCATGGTTGGAGTTGTATTTTTCCAATTCCTCTCTAAAATTTGTCTAAGGAGGTGTTTAGGGACTCTATTGTGGATGCTTTAAGTGCCAGTAATTATAGTGTACGTAGTATGACATGTGGACGAGTTACAGCAGCCTTGCTACGCTTTACTCATTATACACAAACAAGTTTAAACACTTAAATCAATCTTAACCACATGATTTCATTGAAATAGATCCAACGACTAAGCACCTCATTCCTCAAGTGATGACACTGAATCTCTCAATTGCATGCATGGCACTATATATATATATATATATTCTTCAGCAAGAATATTCTAATTGCCCCAATAATATCAATGTTCCTATATCCAGACATTGCTTGTCACATGCATACGTCCCCACCATTGACTTGACGCTAGCTCTTCAATTACTCATGTAGATATTTTTTTTTTCAAGTGCCTATAGAGATAATGCTTCCATATATTGGGCTCACCTCGATTAAAAATGTGGTTAGTAAGTGGTACACGATTGTTTTTATATATGCTTAGATATTCAATTTTGAAAAATTAATGCATCCAACTAACTCAACCAAAAAAATTGCATCCAATTAATGATGTTCTTGGAATATTGATACAAAATAAATTAGGTGTTAAAAAATATTTAATATCTGAATATGATATATTACAACAAAGACTCATTGCCACTATCTTGGTGATTATTCAAAATGTGTAACATCCCTGACCTAATTTAATCGATTTAATCCAATTTAATTCTTTTGTGAAATTTCAATTTTGTCCTTGGGAGTAAGGGTACTTTGGCCAATTTAAGGGAAAAAAAACATTTATTTTATGGCATTATGTATGGTGTAAGTTTGTGAGCTTATGTGAGGCCCCAGTTTAAGATTCGCACAGGGCCCTCAAAATCTCAAGACCGGCCCTGAGTGCACCGGAGTTCGATTCACGTAAAAGACAATCTTGATGCAACCCAATATAATACTCCCCCATTTCCCTCCTTATCAAATCACAGAAATAAAATAAAAAAGATCAAATTGCAAAAAGTAGTATAAAAATTGTAGTTGAAAATTTATTACGTGCAGGACTAGTAAAATTTCTTTAAAGGACGGAGTCATATGCAAATGCGACCTAGCTAGCAGCAAAACCACCATAATGACAATAAGGGTCAAATTAAAATTTTGGTTTTTTTTTTTAAATTTATTGTTGTCTGTCAATCACATAATATTGCAACCATTGTTTAAAGCAGCTTGTCCAATGTCAACACCAACATTCAATGTCCCAGCTACTTTCACAACCACATACTGAAATAATAAATACCCGATCACAAGGAATTAGTCAGTAATTATGTAGGCAAAGGTCATACTCCCTATTCTTTAGTTAAAATGTAACTAAAAACACACAAAAGTTATTTTAGGAACTCTATAAAATTTGAACTCCAATCATATTTCCTAAGTTAGGAAGTCATAAATACTATAGTTATTTTTTAATTCAAATGATTGGTTATCATCTCTATTTTTTTATATTTTAAATAGCTTGTATTAATTAAAAGTTTAAACTATGCATAAAACAAAACAGCATTACATTATAAAGAGCCACTAGGAGTCCTTTCTCTCTCCTCAGATTTAAGAGTTCTTAGAGGTCTCTCTATTTCAGGAGGTGAATAGGGAGCATGGTTGGAGTTTTATTTTTCCAATTCCTCCCTAAAATTTGTCTAAAGAGGTGTTTAGGGACTCCATTGTGGATGCTTTAAGTGTGAGTAATTATAGTGTACGTACTATGAGAGTAGGGGTGGCAATTTCCTACACGACCCGTTACACGACTCGAAACCCGCACGGAAAAAACACGACTCGAACCCGCACGATTAATAATTGGGTAATTTTCGGGTCAACCCGTTTTGACCCGTTTATTAAACGGGTGGGTTTCGGGTCAACCCACCAACCCGTTAAAATACATGTGTAACCCGTTTATTAAATGGGTCGTGTCACGGGTCGTGTCAACCCGTGTAAGACACGCCAACCCGCGAAAAAATATGGGGAAATAGAGACTTCAAAACACACGTATGGGGTTTTGAACCCCCTCCATCCTCATTACCCTCCAACACCTTATCCACCATGCTATATACAACTTTGTAATTATATATTATGCCTTTTGATATTTATAATGTTTTTTTTTCTTTCTTTTCCGTCTATCTTCTCCTCTCTATTTTTTAATTTCTTTTCCTTCTCTCTTTTCTCCTCTCTTTTCTTACTTCTCTTTATTTTTCTTTTTTTTTTTTTTTTCTTTTTTTTCTTTTTTTCTCTCCTCTCTTTTTTATTTTTATTTCTTTCCTTCTCTCTTCTCTCTCTATCTCTCTCTATTTTTTTTGTTTTCCTTCTCTCTTCTCTCCTCTCTCTATTTTTTTTTGTTTTCCTTCTCTCTTCTCTCCTCTCTCTATCCTTTTTTTTCTTTCTTTTCCTTATATTTTCTCTTCTCTCTCTGTTTTTTTTATTTAAATTTTTTCAGTTGTGACTTTTGTAACATGCATATTATTATTTATCAACCCGTTACACGACTCGAAACCCGCACGATAAAAGACGACCCGAACCCGACACGACACGTTTATTAAATGGGTTGGGTTCGGGTTGAGCATTCTTGACACGTTTAATATCCCGACACGACACGAACCCGACACGACCCGACCCATTGCCAGCCCTATATGAGAGTATGTCACATGATATAACTCGTTTGTTAGAATATATAAGTGGATTTTTATTGATATTATATCATAAAAGTGAGAAATATTAACCATATCTCCCATCCATATATAACATGTGGACAAGTTATAGTAGCCTTGCTACGCAATAAAGCGTACATACATGTGGGTTTTTGGCATGTCATTAGATAGAAACAAGTTTAGATCTGTTGAGGCCCAAAAATGCTCAGGGCTTGCTGAGTGGGTTGTAGTATGGATAGTAACGAGCTTTCATGAGGCTCATTGATGAGTCGAGAAATGGAAGTTTTGGGCTGCTTTGGAGCCCCAAAACTCAAGCCAATTTCTTGAGCCCAAATATGTGGGTAAGCATAAAAGAGAGGAAAAACCTCAAATACCCTAGAAAATTAGCCCATCACTTAAGGAAATTAGCCCATGTCCTTAATAGGCTAACTCATCACTTTAGCAAGGCCCAAGCAAGCCAAGAAAAACATCTATAGTCTCCAGCGCTTAGCTAGAAACATGAACCACGATGAAAAGCCAAAATGTTTATAAGTTGCTGGGAGGCTCCAGCACATGGGCAAAAAGAAACCTCAAGGCAGATCCTTCAAGAAACCAGAGGATATTGACGAGTGCAGGAGAAAAGGTAGCCTTCATACCAGCCAAAGTTATCTATCTCCTTCCTTTACCAGACCTTGCCATGAAATAGGGGAGGAAAGGAGGAGAGATGATAGCCAAAAAATAAGAAATCACCACTGAAACAGCTAAAGCCTAGAGCTCCCAAAACCCTATTTTTGTGTGATTGAGTAAAGAGAATTTCACCAAATAGGATGAGTTAAAGGAAAAGAAGAGAAAGAAGAGGAAAGACTTGGCCAAATTGGATAGAAACCATTAGGGTTTCTTGGGAAGAAGGAGATTCAAGTGCCTATAAAATGGAGCTTCCTCTACCCAATAAAAATCATCATCCAAAGTGTCATTGCACATGCTGAATGATGAAGATTGTATGGGTGCCGAAGGGCACTGAAGAAGGGGAGAACGACATAAGCCTTTTGTATCTCTTCCCACAGACAGCGCCAAATTGTTGATGCTCTTTTCAGAGAAGGTCAACTTAGAGAAAAGGAGGTTTGCCTTCAGCAAGGAAAGGGCCTGGACCTTCAATAAAGGCTAGCTTGCAGAAGACAAAATAGGAGAAGCGGTCGTTAAGCTTCGGACACCGGTGTGGTGCCGGCCGAAGGCTCTCCGATGCTTAAGTCAACTAAGAGGGGTAACTTTAGCAGAGTAATAGTAAAAGGTAAGAAAGTAGTTACCCTTTTTACTAGGGTACTGTTCCCTTTTTATAAGGAAGTGAAAGTGGGAGGTTTGTGTAGATTTTCAATGTGGAACTTTGTGCAAGTCGTTGTGGTGGTGACACGTGTCATGGAGATTAGGTTTAGCAATTTGGACCTTCAGCAGTCGGGAGTTTCAGCGGGTGCTTGGCACCTCGTAAGAGTGTCTTCCTTCGATAGGGGAGAAGGCGTGTCTGCCTTGGTGTTGGTTATTTTGAGGCTGGATATGCTCAGTTGATTATGGTGTAAACAAAGTTCATATGGCGGGTCTGTACTGCGTACACACACCAAGACCACTTGAAACTGTTATCTTTCAACATTTCATTGTGGCTTTTTTTCTGCCTAAAAACGACACATCAAAAATGTTATTTTCTTTTATATGTAAACTGGGTCATCACGTAAATCTTTCATTCAACTTTCAAACAGAATTACAACCTATATGAAAAATGAAAAGATTTTACAGGGGAATGAGTTTTTATGGTCGACGGAAAAAAAAACACACACGTGTTTGATGTTTTGTGACATACACACTCCAACCTCAAGTAAACCCCACTAGCATTTTATAGAGAGACGATGATTCAATTTTATGTAAAATTGAAGTAGAGAAAGCACACACACCAGAAATGTGTTAAAATATGAAACCTAATATGAGAATATTTGTTTATGGGAATATTTTGTGTATTCTTCTCCTTGTAGAAGGTCATATTTATAATACAACAGAATTTTAATGGGCAAGGAAATAATAAATTCCTATTTCTATTTACAGTAGGAAATCAGTAATTAAATTAAATGAAATATAATTATAATGGAAATTCTTGGTGTGTAAGGAAAGAAAGTCAATGGTCCACAAGTCACGCCAACACTCCCCCTCACGTTGGTGCATAAATGTCGCCAATGCCCAACTGGTCCAGTGAATTGTGGAACGCTTTATTAGAAATTTCCTTTGTCAAAATATCTGCCAATTGATCCTCGGACTTTACGAAAGGAAACTAAATCACTTTAGCTTCGAGCTTCTGTTTGATACAGTGTCGATCTACCTCAACATGTTTGGTGCACTCATGTTGAATTGGATTTTGTGCAATAGCTATTGCAGCCTTGTTGTCACAAAACCGATTCTTTATTTTTTTAAATTCGTTTTTCATATAAATATAACTTCATAAACAATATTAGGTCAATAGAATCACTAGAGATGTGATCAACCAAATCAATGGTATTTTGAATGGACACATGAAGTACATATGCAGATCATTACCTAAAGTGCTTTGTGTACATAGTTTTAGAGTTGAAACAAAGTGTTTATTAATTTGGAGGAGAATAGTAAATAGTTTTGTGGACATAGAAACGAAGGATAAATGGCCTTCATGTGGCTATTGGCCACCACACTGGATTTAGATTAGTGAGCCTCCACAATGGTGGTTTAGCTCTTTGCTCCGTTGGGAGTTCTCTTGGCCAATCCTCACCACGTTAGGTTGATTAGATACACGACTAGCTAGTTTACTAGCTTAGGTTGGGTAGCAATTTTTTGGCTCCACCTTGTTTGGATCACATATATGTCGATTTATAGTCTTGATCAACCGAGCGTACCTTGGTCCGCCGACTAAGGAAGATTAACCCCAGCCACATATGTGTGGCTTTCTCTAGATAATTATCCAAGTTGCAGTGGCTGCCGACTTCCCATTTCAGAATTCTCAATATCCTTCTAGGATATTTTCTACTCCAAGTCGACATTAGCTTTTTCTCCAAGCTTCTAGATTTTTCCATATTTCTTTAGCACAAATGTGCAGTATTTTCAACATAATCCTTCACTTTTATCTAGAAAACAAAACCTCTTGAATGAGCAATATAGCTTAAGTTGTATTTTGTTACTTGCAAAAGGTAGAGTGAAGAAATTGCATCCGAAAAAGAAGACATAACTGTAAGAACAAACTGTGCTTTATTACATCCGGAACACAAAAGAAAAGAAGAAGAAAAAAACAAAAGCAAACAACAAATGTAAAATAAGAACTACAATAATATGTCTAGCCTCTAAGACTTCTCTTGATCGTGTTGATGCGCATTGTTACCATCACATACAACCTATCTTGTACATTATCGATGAATCGAAAATATGCATATCTCCATGTCTTGTTAATAACTAAAGAACCACAGACTCCCCAAAATCCCACTATGAACCCCAATGCAGCGAAGATATAAAACCATGGAAGTTGATGAAGCCCATTGTCCACGTCTTTGTTCTTGTTATCTTCATCAATGCCCTTATTTGGTCCGCACTTCTTTGGAAGCGGGTCACCACAAAGTTTTGGATTCCCCTCAAAGGAAGAAGCGTTGAAGCTTTGGATCTGAGTGCTTGTTGGTATTGGTCCTTGGAGATTATTGTATGAGACATCAAGGCTTCTCAAAAAATTAAGTCTCAGCAAAGACGATGTGATTTTTCCAGACAAATGATTCATGGAGAGGTTCAAAACCTCTAATTCTTTTAGGTTAGATATTTGGTCTGGAATGACACCGACGAAATTGTTGGAGTTAAGATACAATCTGCGAAGAAGCTGCAATTGGTGGATCTCAGTAGGTATCTCTCCATCAATGTTATTGTCAGATAGGTCTATCAACGCTGGAAAGTAAGACAATCTGTGCGGTGGATAAGTTTTTCTATCTGAGATTGTGATGAGAGGTAATTCAAATTCATATTGGTCTACTTCAGATGCAATAGGTTTTGAAATCAAACTTGGTAGTCTACAAAGTTTCTTTGGAAATTCACCTGAAATTCGATTGTGTGACAAGTTGATATAAAATAGTCTAGGAAGAGTTCCTAGCCAACTTGGAATTCGCCCTGTGATTTGATTAACATTTAGACTCAAGAGCTCTAGATTTTTTAGCTTTGATAACCACAGAGGTATTTGACCAGTGAGATTACAATAGGCCAAACTCAACAACCAAAGATTTTGGAATCCATCAAAATCAACCATGTCATCATCAGATGGCATTTCCTCACCTACAAAGGAACCAGTAAGAAAGAGTATGTGAAGACTTTTGCTACTCATTAATATCTTCATTGCCCCTGTGAGGTTGGTGAATTGGTTGTAACCAAGAGAGAGGAAAGACAAGGATTTCAATGAAAGAATCTCCGCTTGTATTTGTCCTTCTAGATGATTTCCAGTCAATCCAATGGCTTTCAGGGACCTACATGAGTAAAGACTTACTGGCAACGTACCAGTGAAGTTATTCCCCCTTAAGTCAAGTTTTGTAAGTTGACTAAGTATGGAGAAATTAAGCATGGAGATATCTCCTTCCAAGTTGTTGAATCCCAAATGAAGTTCTACGAGGTTTGTGCAATTCATCAAAGATGGGGGCAAAGCACCTTCTAAATAGTTGAAATCAAGGTTCACAAACTTCAGCTTGGAGAGCTTCCCCAAATTGAAAGGAAGCCTACCGCTCAATTGATTAATGTAGAAGTCAAGGATTGCAAGGTTGGTGAGGTTGATAATTTTATCACTAATGGATCCACGTAGTGAATTGAGAGGTATTGCAATTTCTTCAAGTTTGGTAGCATTATAGATATCTTCTGGAAGTAATCCTGAGAGGTTATTGTGACCAGCACGAAAAACCTTAAGTTCGGAACACCCCCCTAGCCCAAAAGCAAGGTTGCCACTGAATTCATTGGAAGAAAAATCCAATAGCCTAACAAAGGGAGAAGAATGGAGACAAATAAAGGATGGGACATACCCCGTGAAGGTATTGTTGCTGACATTGAAACTAGTCAAGTTGCTTGCTCGTTGGAAGAATGAAGATGGAATTGCACCATGAAAGTGATTGCTGGACAAATCGACTATCCGGATATTGCTGGATGATAGAGAAAATGGTAGCTCTCCAGAAAGAAGATTATAGCTCAAATCAAGGAACTCGAGTCGATTCAAAGACAAGAAGAACTGAGCTTTAAGTGAACCATATAGTAAATTGTGGGAAAGGTTCAAGTGGGTGAGATGTGTGAGATTTCCAAGTGAAGCAGAAATACCTCCTTTGATCCCTTTGAAAGGCAAGAGCAAATGGGTGACCCAACCATCTTGATTACAAATGATGCCCTTCCAACGACAGTAATCAATGGATGTCCAATTTAGAGGAGGGGAAGATAGAGTGGAAGCAAAGGACAGGAGGGAGGTATGTTCAGTTTGTTTGTAGGCATGAATATTTGCAGATATAGTGTAAGAGAATAAGAGGAAGAGAAGGAAGCCATGAGCCATTAAGTTATAAGGCTGCACTAGAATGTTGATTTGTGTATGTGTCTTTGCTCACAGGTTTATATATATAAGCAACGTACGATGCTTGAAAACAATATGTAAGCATCACTGCAAATTGAGAAGTCGGCGTGCATGTTATTTCACTACAAAAAATTTGATGCAAATTATATATTCAAAGAGAAGACCCTTAAGAGGGGCCACCAGGAGAGGACTTGAGCTACTTAATTCAAAGGACTTGAGCAAATTATTTCACTACAAGAAATTTGAGTATTTACGGCGTGGTATTTACGATGTGCATGTTATGCGCACCGTAAAAGATGGGTTTTTATGGCATGCAATTTGAGCGCACCTTAAATTGATTTTTTTTTCTTCCTTGTTTAATGGCGTGCTTTTAGTGCACGCCGTAGTTTTCAGTCAATAAAAGCGTGCTAATATTGTTGTAAAAGAGAACTCCATTAACGGCGTGTAAAATGTGAATGCCGTGAAAGATAATTCTATTAATGGCGTGAGAAATATGCACGGCATAAAATGTGCACGCCTTGAAAGATAGACCTTCACTAAAAATATTCAAAAAAATAAAATAACCGACTGCTATTAAAGTTGTTTTCTTGTATATAAACATCTTATGAAGAAACCCAAAGCTCCAGGAGTCGGAGAACAATTCGAATTCACAATTTCCATAGACATTGGCTCTCAATGGAACCTTTTGCGTGTCTACCTACTATCAGACACGCGGCACTCAATCTACAAGGCAATTTAAAAATTTAAAATTAAAATGTTGAAATGTTGAAATTGATAAAAGTCATGGCAAAGAAAAATGTAGACTACGTTGATGCGCCCTGTACATGTTATAAAAGTATTTTCTACTAATTCATTGTCATCTGTCCAATGAATGACAACATAGATGAAATGTAGATTGCGAAAATTCTACACAGAACCCGTCCTCCCTAATAAATTAGAAAAAAAAAAAATAAAAAAAAACGTTTCGATTAGATCGATTTTTTGCAGCTGAAGTTGTCACTTGCAAAAGGTAGCGTGCAGAGATCACATCCGAAAAAGAAGACATAATTATAAGAACAACTCCAGTGGAGCGCCAGAGCCTCGGGCTGGGGGAGAAAAAAGAGAAAAACTGTTTCTAGCGATGAGCCCAAGCCCGGGCAACATGTGGGTCCTACCAAGTCAGGTTGGCCCGAAGGCCAGTTCAGCTTGAGGTCCAAAACGAGGATTGGTGATGATGTCATCGCTGACGCCAGGCTGGCTTCAGCCCACTCATGTGATTATTTTTTCTGTTGCCACGTGGCATCGTCTGGGCTCTCTGATATGATTTTTTCCTCCAATCCAATGGCAGCCAATTTTTTTGCAATAAAATACGGGAAAAAATACCCAAAAATTAATGAATTTTTTTCTATAAATACTAGCCATTTTTTTTTAAAATGTATTTGAAATTTGAAATTGAAAATTTTATCCGATTATGAGATATGAATAGTATTGACACGTAGGAACCCGGAAATCTTATCCGAAAATATTATCCAAATTAATTATTGAGGTAAAAAAAATTGTGAAAAAAACAAAAAAATGAATAGTAATTGCCCTTAGCCATGGCAACGGGTGGAAACACAAAATACTATTTGCAAGGGCAACCACTATTCACGTGAATAGTGGCTGCCCTAGCTCCCCCTTTGCCATGTCTAAGGGCAAATGGGTGGAGTTGCTCTAAGAACAAACTATGCCTTATTATGTCAGGTACACAAAAGGAAGAAAAGAAAAGCAAAATAAAAAGTACAATATTAATAATATATATCTAAGCCTCTTCTTTTCATCATGTTGATGTGGACTGTTATCATCACATAGAGCCTATCTTGTAAATTGTGTATGATTTGAAAATACGCATATCTCCATATCTTGTTAATAATTAAACAACCACACACTCCCCAAAATCTCACTATGAACCCCAATGCAGTGAAAATATAAAATCACGGAAGTTGATGAAGCCCATTGTCCACATCTTTGTTGTTCTTGTTATCTGCATCAATGCCCTTATTTGGTCCCAATGTAATGTATGATTTACCTTGAAGATCTTGAATGCATTGTGTGAATTGTTTAATTTCAGCCACAGTCATCAGCCATATATTAACTTAGTCTAGCCTAAAAACTTTGAGCTTGATTGATTACATGTGCAATTACAAAGTTGTCAAGGGAAGCTAAAAAATCCTAGCTAAGCATAATATGTAGTGGGGGGGGGGGAATTGTGGAGGAATTTCTACTGTTATGTCATGGATTTTGCAGCACAATCTTCAGCTTGCCCTTTCAACTATTCTTTGATGCTTATGCATAATTTCTTGGAGGTTCTTCCAGACCATAAAAAATAAAAAATTCTCTTGGAGGTTCTAACTTTTAACTTCACATAATGTAGAGAAAACCATGAGGCCATCACTTCACTGAGTTCTGCAACCTTCACATAATGCAGGTAGTTTTCTTCAAAATTTTCAATCATGTTCTAAATAAATCTGTCAAAATGAGTTTTGAGATAGTTTTGTCAATAGTGATTGAAGAACGTTTCTTGGCTTTTAGATCAGCACACAGGGAAAATCTCTTCAAACCAGAGACTGGGGGGTGCAAATTCTCTGGAAAACCTCCAACCATATATATGAACACAACAGCGGGTGTACAAATAATGTCTTCGCCTTTGCCATGTGTGCAAGGCTGAAAAAACAAACAATGAGACAAAACGCCGCAAAGGCAAGTGAACGAGTTCACATACAAATCTTCCCATGTTTTACAAACTTGTCAAGCATTTTGAAGATGGATTGATTCTTTTGACAGAGGAATCTTTGTTCCTTATAAAATTCTCACTACCCTATAATGAAATTAACCAAAACAACCATTTCAAGCATATACCATCAATAACAGGTCGTACGGTCTTCAATTCTGGTATTTGTGCAAGAATCTACATAAGAACAACCAAATTCAACTTTATTATCAGCATGATTATGGCAAACTTTGATTATCAACTTTATTATTATTAAAATCAAATGTCACAAAATTACTAATATATGTGAGAAGAGTAGACACAAATAATGGTGAGTAACGAGGAAATTCATTGACTAACTACCCATATGTCACCAAAACCAATTTAGTTACTTTGAAATGGTGACCATTGCATCAATTTTTTTGTAGTGCAATCATACATGCAGAATATGTAGCTGAAGTTGTAATTAATTGTTGTTTGCAAAAGGTAGCGTGAAGAAATCACATCCGAAAAAGAAGACATAATTATAGGAACAATCAGTGGCTTATTACATCAGAAATACAAAAGAAAACAAGAAAAAAAGAAAAACCAATCTAGCCTCTAAGCCTTCTGTTGATCATCTTGATGTGCACTGTTACCATCGCGTAGAGCCTATCTTGTACTTTGTCGATGAATTGAAAATATGTGTATCTCCATGTCTTGTTAATAACTAAAGTACCACAGACTCCCCAAAACCCCACTATGAACCCCAATGCAGCGAAAATATAAAACCATGGAAGTTGGTGAAGCCCATTGTCCACGTCTTTGTTGTTCTTGTATTCTGCATCAATGTGCTTATTTGGTCCGCAAACGTTTGGAAGCGGGGCACCACAAAGTTTTGGATTCCCCTCAAAGGAGGCAGCGTTGAAGCTTTGGATCTAAGTGCTTGTTGGTATTGGTCCTTGGAGATTATTGTACGAGACATCAAATGCACTCAAGAAATTAAGGCTCGCCAATGAGGATGGGATTGTTCCAAACAGATGATTCATAGAGAGATATCCAAAATCTCTAAGTTCCTGAGGTTAGATATTTGGTTTGGAATGATGCCGGTGAAGTTGTTGGACTGAAGAGCCAACTTGCGGAGAAGCTGCAATTGGCCGATCAAAAAGTTAGCTTCTTCAACCAACTCTACACTACCTAAACATCTTGTAAAGAAACCCAAAGCTCCGGGAGTCGGAGAACAATTCGAATTCACAATTTCCATAGCCATGGCTCTCAATGGAAACTTTTCCGTGTCTACCTACTATCAGACACGCGGCACTCAATCTACAAGGCAATTTAGAATTTTAAAATAAAAATGTTGAAATGTTGAACTTGATAAAAGTCATGGCAGAGAAAAATGCAAACATACGCTGATGCGCCCTATCCATGTTATAAAAATATTTTCTACTAATTCATTGCCATCTGTCCGCTAAATGACAACATAGATGAAATGTAGACTGCGAAAATTCTACGTATAGAACCCATCTCCCCCTGCAAAGTAAATTAGAAAAAATAAATAAATAAATAAAACCTGTATATATTTTATACAAAAACACTTAGAGATTCCAATTGGAGAAAGAAGAAAAACGACAACAAGCCACTTGTTATTTTTAGATTGGTTCTTAGTATATTTCCATTTTTTAAAATAAATATAGCATGGAATTTTTCTAAAGTTTGATTTATCTTGAAAATTTGGAACGTTACATTGCTAGTCAAGCCTGATCTCAACAATACATTGACTTCCTACTCACAAGTCACGGACCAAACAGATCAACTGTAGTTAATTTTTAGTACAACAATGGCATATGAACCAGAAGACAAAAAGGCATGAAACATAACGTACCGAAGACAAAGTCTATATATTTAATCCATAATATTTTACATGAAATACATTATAATTTTCCTCAAAGCATTTTCATATTTTGAAACCGTAGCATATATCAATGCCATCAAACATGTCTCTCTCAATATATATATCCATGTAATCTCCCATTCGATTTCGCAATCAATTCTTCAAAACATTCATGGCTGAAAATGCTCTTTTGACGATGGCAGTTGCAATTAGTAAATTCAATGCTAATGTTACAAGCAAGTAAACCAGTTGATATACCTTGTCTTTCTCACACTAAACCCTTTTTTTTTCTTCTTTTTCTTTTTTTTTTCCAAGATCTCTAATCCCTTTTAAACTTAAAAACGCAATGCTAGAATGCATATCCTCAATATAAGTCTCAAGCTGAATCTTAAGTATCACAAGCTCATTTACAAAGAACTATGTGCCGTGCCCGTGGGGTGGGTAATGTAGGGTGGGGTGTTGTAGTCCTTTTGACAAAAAATAATATTAAGAAAGAAAGACAAATCTAAATGGTTAATTTGAGTGGACTTGGTTGGGTGGAGTGGAAATGATTCTCTTATTAATTTGAGTGGGTTTTAGTGGTGTGTTTCTGGTTGACTTTGTCTACTACACATGTAGATTTTCTTTTCCCAACAAAAAATGAGTGGGGGGCATCCGCACCAGTGAGTCTACGCTGGCTCCATCCTTGGTTTATAGGTGTGTGTATGTTGCTCTGATATCACTTTTCAGATTTTAAAAGTAAGTGATGTGTGATACTGTTGTTGGTTTGTGTGGTGAAGAGGTTTAGGAAAGATAGGACAATAGTTGAAACAAAGTGATTTTATTATTTTCTTTTATATGTAAACTGGGTCATCACGTAAAAGAAAAGAAAGCATGATAAGTAACAGAAAAGATTTTACAGGGGCATGAGATTTTATGGTTGACGAAAAAGAAAAAAACACAGTTATTCGTGTTTGATGTTTCTCAAGCAAACCCTACTGTGAATCAATTTTATCAAACATAAAATTTAAGTAGAGAAAGCACACACACCAGAAATGGCCTCCTCAAAGCATAGATTTTTGTCAGGCGATACAAGTAGTATTTTTGAACTGCCCCCTCAAATCAAAATGCCTTCATACCTAGTAGTGTTTTTCGTAGCATTTTGAAATTCGTTCTAACCATTTGACAAAGCCGGTGGAGTTCAAATTCTGCATGCTAAATCGAATTCGTTTGTGCCTTTTTTCTTCTTTATTTTTTTAATTTCGTTTTTCATATAAATATAACTTCATAAACAATATTAGGTCGATAGAATCACTAGAGATGTGATCAACCAAATCAATGGTATTTTGAATGTACACATGAAGTACATATGCAGATCATTACCTAAAGTGCTTTGTGTACATAGTTTTAGAGTTGAAACAAAGTGTTTATTAATTTGGAGGAGATGACACAGCACAAGAAAAAAGATTTTCAAGCGAAAATCTTAAAGAACAATAATCTGGAATACACCAGGAGATTAGAGAGAAATTCTCTTTGAATTATTTGATAAAAGTTGAGATGAGTTCAACCAAGCATGATGGCTGACTAAATACAACGTTCTCATCCTTTGGACTGCCCTGGGGAGTTATTGAAAACTTAACAGAAAATAAACGAAAAGTCTGTAAATTGAATACAATCTTTAAATGAACTTTTGGAAGGCCAAATGACCTCATGGCATCGTTCCCCTTTCGAGAAGGTATTATGCGACCCAATTAGAGCTCGGACACCAAATCTGTAAATTCCCACTGCGATCTTTTTCCCTTCTTCGCTCCAATTCTTCTTCAATCTATTCAGCCATTTATTCTACATCAGTCCCCTCCACCTCCAAAGACCTCGACCCCGAGTTATATTCAGGATAAAGGTTTTCATCTTCACAAAACTCACACAAATCAGCAACATTAAAAGTATTGGAAATTCTCATGAAATCTGGTAATTCAATAACATAGACGTTGTCATTTATTCTTTTTACACCTTGTAAGGACCATATTTCTTAGGCTTCAGCTTGCTATATGTACCAACGGGGAACCTCTCCTTCCTTAGAAACACCATCACAGAGTTGCCTTCTTGAAATACTTTAACTTGTCTATGCTTATTTGTAGCAGCTTTATACTTAGCATTAGTTTGCTCGAGTTTTTTCTTCACTTCATCACGAACAAACACCACTTCTTCAGCCAAATTCCCCGCTGCAACACTGGTTTTCTGGCCTTTAGGCAACTTCACCAAATCTACGACATGATTAGGTACAACAATATAAACAATGGAAAACGGTGACTTCCCGGCAGCACTATGAATTGCACTGTTATATGCAAACTCCACCTGTGGTAATGCATAATCACATTGTTTCGGCTTCTCTCTGCAAATGTTTCGCACCGTATTTCCCAATGTTCGATTTGCAACCTTAGTCTGGCCGTCAGTTTGAGGATAAGGCAGTGCTACTACGATTCAAAGTAGTCCCAAACATTCTCCACAAAGTGATCCAAAAATGGCTCAAAAATTTTGTACCACGATCAGAGGTTATAGATGTAGGTACTCCATACAAGTGAACAACCTCCCTAAAAAACAGTTTGGCTTTATTAGATGCATCAGCAGTTTTCTTACAGGCTATGAAATGTGGCATTTTTGAGAACCGATCAACCACCGCAAAAACCTAATCCACACCTTTCTGAGTTCGAGGCAAACCAAGGACAAAATCCATAGCATGTTCTTGCCAAATATCATTAGGAACTAGTAAAGGCATGTATAATCCAGTGTCTTGTACCTGTCCTTTCGAAACCTAACAAATATAACATTTGCGCCCAATTGTTCCAACATCACGCTACAACTATGGCTAATAAAATCTCTCTTCTAATCCTGCTATTGTTTTATCGTAGCCTAAGTGGCCACTCAACCCTCCTCCATGCAAATCCCGAATGAGCTTCTCCCTTAATGAGGAAACAAGAATGCATAACTGGTTGCCCTTGAATAAATACCCTTCATTAAGGAAGAAATCAGCCATTGGCTCATGATTAGCACATTTAACCATATTGCCTTGAAATCATTATCATCTTCATATAAATCCTTCAAAAACTCGAACCTCACAATTTCTTGTATAAGAGTAACTAACAAAGAAGCCCTTCTACTCAGCGCTTCAGCCACATAATTTGAGGTACCACACGATTTTTGCAAAAAAATAACCCATCTGGCATGCATTTTATCAATATGTTTCTTGCTGTTAATATATTTAAAAGCTTGATGATTTGTAAACAAAATAAATTCCTTTTTGTAACACCCCAACTCCAAATTTAATTCCTTATTTAATTTATTTAAGTGAAATTACGAATTCACCCTTGGGGTAGGGGTAATTTGGTCATTTTCTTGTCCAGAAGGATTTTGGGACAACGAGTGATATGGTTACACAGGTCGTATTGAGAAGAATTCGTAGACACGCGGTAGGCTTGAATCAAAGTTGTAACAAAGATTTGGCGATCAAAATACTTCCAGTGGCAAAACTGTAAATAACTCGAAGTTGAGAGTATTTTTAAAAAGAGATTTCTATTTAAACCCCACACTTTTCTTAATTCACCCAATGTTCTAAGTTCACCCCAACTTTTAATTTAAATTTTCACAATTTCTAAGTAAACCTCACTATCTTCCCAAACTACCCTTAAATACACCACAAACTGAAAAAATAAGAAATAAAAGAGATTTTCTATTTAAACCCCACAAGCTACCTTTATAGGAGAAAATACGTTCTCAGCATGAGAAATAGTAAGTATTAAATTAATTTTTTGATGATATTTCAAAGTCTTATTCATTGTCTGTTTTCAAGTGCATAAACCCAATTGTGCCTCAGAAAGAGAAAGAATTGAGAAACTGGGAGGTATGGCTTATGATGGCTACCTTAACGGTCAATTATCGGTGTCACAAGCTCTTGGAGATTGGCACATGAAAGGCTCCAAAAGTTCCTCTTGTCCCTTAAGCGCAGAGCCGAAGCTTGAGGAGACAACTCTGAGTGAGGAAGATGAATTCTTAATCCTAGGCTGTGATGGGCTGTGGGATGTGATGAGCAGCCAACGCGCAGTTACAATTGCAAGGAAAGAATTAATGCTTCACAATGATCCTAAGAGATGCTCAAGACAAGAGAGCTGGTTAGGGAGGCACTCAAGCGCAATACCTGCGACAACCTGACAATAGTTGTGGTATGCTTCTCCCCAGACCCACCACCTTTGCTTGAGATCCCGAAATTGAAATTCAAAAGGAGTATATCAGCAGAAGGTCTTAATCTTCTGCAGGAAGTACTAGATAGTAAATCATGATCAGATTTGATGCTTAATCACATTTGTGAATGATATTGAAGAATCCGTCATTTGGAAATCTCAATTGGGTTCATGGTCTTTGGAATCAGGCATCCTATAGAAGAGTTTGTATTTTTTTAAAACTTAATTTGAAGAGTTGTGGAGTGTGTGTATAGATGTATTAGGGTTAAGTATTAAGTTGGATGACCTTTTTTGTCTTTTTACACAATAATAAAACTTACAGCTGAATGATTTACGTATTGGGGTGAACTAAGAGAAGTGTGGGGTTTAAATAGAAAAAATCTTTAAAAATCAAAAACCTCCCTTCTCTCTCTTTCTTGCGTCTTCTTCTCTCTCTCTCATCACTCTCGACTCTGATCACTCTCTCTCTTCGAATCTCTCTGCTCAGGTCACGACAAGGGCCGGCTCTGGTCTTGTTCGAATCGGCTTGACCTCACTGTCCAAACCCACCCATTTTCCTGGCCTAAAAACTTCAATCCTGTCGGCGGTGACGACTAGTTTTTCTCTTTGTTTTCCCATCGTTGCAACTCCTCCTCCGCCTTCCAATCCTAGTGAAACAAGTGAGGGTTCTTCCTATTTTTACGTGTTCTAGCTGTCTGTTGCATAGGATTGGATCAATTTGCTGTCTTGGATACTGATTTAGGAATCTAGGTTTTGGCCAGATTTTAAAGTGAAATTTCGGCCAGTTGCCGTCTGAATTTGACCTTTCCGTAGTTGAATGAAGTGATCCTTGCCTCAAGTAGTACCTAGGGTAGAAAGGGTGAGCGGTGGTGTGGAGTTTTTCCATCGCCGGAAATTATTCTACACACCCACGCGCTGCCGGCGCGTGGGCAAGGTGGTGAGGCCACATTTTTATCCTGTTGTAATCCTTGTATTGTCACGAGCGCGTAGGTGTGCTCGGATTTCGATTCGGACGTCGTTTGACTATCGAACAGATTTCGCATATTGTGCATTATCCAGGTTCAATAGGTTCTGATCGTTGGATTGTTTCCAAATTAAAATATATTGATCAAGGCACTCCTAGAATCGTGTAGGAATTCACGGATCGTGAATCGGAGCCCCAAATGTTCCGATTCAATAATTTGAAGTTGTGGTTTGCGAAAACCGTCCCATTTGTGAGTGATCCAACCGTCCCTTTTGGACCACACTTGCAAGACGTAATCCCTTACCCGTAGTCGGACCTTAGGATATCTCATTCTACGTACACGCACCGGGAACTTGGGGATTTAAGTATTTAATTTGTGATTTCCGTTTCGAAGTGATTTGATATTAATTAAGGGTTTGTATCTCGAAATAGGTGCTCCGACCGCTCAGGGTCGGGCAGCTTGGGACTATTTGGGAGTGGACTTTGTTTTCAATCATATGCGTGGTTTTATTGATGAAAGATTTATGCATATGTTTTAAATGGTATATTGGATATATTATATATTCGGTTGTTAAATTTGATGTTCTTATAAAGTTTTGGCCGTATATTTTGGGTTTTGACATATTTGAGTATCTTGAGTATGCATATATGAATTTTGAGAAATTCTATCTATATTGTCTATGTGTGGGGTACTTGAGTTGTTGAGGTGAGATTGTGGAAGGATTTGAGTATGAGGGTTGTTGAGAGAAGTTGCATGATTACACTATGTAAGTACCATCCCCTAGTTACTAGACTTCCCACACGTGGCGTTGGTAGTTCCGGCGTGTGAGACACTTCCCATACGTGGCGTTGGAATTTCCGGCGTATAGGAAGGTTATGTATATTGTTAAGAATTATCACACGTGGCGTTGGAAGTTCTGGAGTGTGATGATGTAGTCTGCGCATGTAGGACTTAGTATTGGAGGTACACGTGGCGTTGGAAGTTCTGGTGTGTGAGCTATGGAGTTTCGTTCCCCGGTTGGACCGTTCATCCCTAGACACAAGATAGCACTTGGAAATCCTATGGGCTAGCCAAACAATCCCCGGGTTGGATTGTTTTCCCGGTACCTAAGTGGTGTGATAAGTATTATGTATTTGTATAGTTATATATTTATATATATATATATATATATATATGTATGGGTGAGTAAAGTCGCTAAAGCATATGGGGTGATTTGGTAAGAGCAATATAAATGTTGGGGCTACGGTTTATGGATTGAGTGATTTTGGTTTTAAAGGGTTTTAGAGATTAATGGTTTTGAATATTATATATGAGAATCTGCATGCTTTGGGCATTATTTTTACACGGTGGGGATTATTATGTTGTTTAAATGCAAACTTTGTTTTTTTCCACTCACATATTTTCTGTTTTGTGCCCCCCAAACAATAGTCGCTCCAGGAAGGTTGCAAGCTGTGTTCGAGGGCCGAACCGTACATCCGTAGATTAGGATTTGAGTAATTTCTTTCTACCCAACTGGTTGTTGTAAATTAAATCTGTTAGATGCTCTGTTATTGCCCATGTTAGGTTTTTACTTGTGAGGCCGGAGGCCATTTTAGTGTGTATTATTGAATGTAGAAAGCATGCTGCTGGTTGGGATTATTATGTATTTATTGTAGGTTGGAATTTGTTGGGATTGTTTAATTTACAAGGAAGACTTTGCCAAAATTTTGGTAGAAAGTCTCGGTTTTTAGTATAGGGGCCCGGCATCAGGGTAATGTCGGTAACAATACGGGATCCGTCTCGGTTTCCGAGGAATTTTAGGGCGGATCCTGTTGCTTCTGAATAAGATAGTGCTCCATTGTTTCAAAGCCCGAACAACTGCATAAAATTCTTAGTCATAAGTACTCCATTTTTAATGAGCGTCGCTCAACTTTTCTGAAAAGAAAGCAATTGGTCTCTTGTCTTGAGAAAGCATGGCTCCCACTCCCACGCCACTGGCATTGCATTCAACTTCGAACACCTTCTCAAAATTTGGAAGAGCTAGAACATGAGCGGTGCAAACTTTTTCTTTTTACAAGAGCAAAACTTTTTCTTGCTCTTCTCCCCAATTGAACTTGCCCTTCTTCAAACATTCAGTAATAGGCGTGACAATGGAACTAAAAAGCCTCACAAACCTCCTATAAAAAGTGGCCAAATCATGGAAGCTTCGAACTTCAGAGATTGTTTTTGGAGTTCGCCATTCAAGAATTGTGCAAGAGCAAATGGGTGACCCAACCATCTTGATTATAAGTGATGCCCTTCCAACGACAACAATTATTAGAGGTCCAATTTAAAGGAAGAAAAGATAAAGTTAGGGTAAAGGACAGGAGAGATCTGCGATCAGTTTGGTTGCATGCACGACTATGTGTGGATATACATAATAATGGAAGAGAAAAATAAGAAGAGAAGGAAGTCATATGCCATTGGATTAAGGCTGCTGCAGTACTAGCAAGTTCTTTCGTGTATTGATATTGCCCACAGGTCTGGATAGCTATATGGATATGCAATTGCACGAGATATTTCGTGCTCATGCTCACGAATGATACTTCTTTTCTTAGAAAGCACATGCATTGGGCCCATAAAAAAATTTGGCATGGGCTATAGCTGGGCTACAAGTAGCCTGATTGGAGGGCTAAAGGGCTAAATGGCTAAAGGTAGCCCTCCAAATTTGGCCAAATGTTTTTTTAGTCTATGGTTGGAAATGAGTTTTGTATTATTTTAGAGATATATTTGGCCCGTGACTAGAGATGGCTTAATGACCTCATAATTTGGGGGATTTATTGTAATTGATCCTAAAATAAATAATAAATAAAACAACAATAGTTGAAGAAAGAGAAATGCATAAAATTGAATAAAATAGCTTCCACATAGTATTTAACATTTCTTTTGAAGATGCTGTTAGTTTAAAACGGAATAGTTATGCCAATTTCACCAACTATGCATTTATTGATTTTGAACTGCCCCCCCTCAGATCAAGTTTCACTCGAGAGAACGAATTAGATCAAAGGCAAACATTCCCAAAAAAAAAAGAAGATAAAATTAAATTCTCAAATTCATTTCTTGTGAAATTTATCTCTTCAATATCCGCTTTGAATATGTTGAAACTAGCCAATTAATACCAATAAAGTATAAACTTATGCAACGAGGGTGCTATTTTTATTATTTTTTTAAAGTTATAACTGTGCGGCTATACCTTTTAAATATAATATATTTACATAGTACGCTGATCGGCTATACTCGGGTATAATTTATTTTTCCAAAATAAAATAGCCGTGCTGCTATACTACAACTTTTTTTAAAAAAAAACCGTATAGCCGCTTGGCTATTCTTGTTTTGACACCTGGGCACCTAATCGCTAGACAGGTCCTTTTTTTTCCTATAGTATAGCCGCGCGGCTATACTTGGCTATTTAAAATATATAAAAAATAGTGTAGCTGTGCGTCTATACATGTTTTCACACTTGGCACTTGGGCACTAGGCAGGTCCCTTTTTTTATTTATAAATAGTATAGCCGCGCGGCAACACTCAGGTGTTATTATTTTTTCAAAATAGCCGCGTGGCTTTACTCAGGTATTTTAAAATTTTTTTTTATAAATAGTATACTTGAGCGGCTATACGTTATATATATATATATATATATATATATAGTGGGATCCCTTTTTTCAAAAAAAATAAAGATTTTCCCCAATTTTCTTTTATCGATATGAATAGTTTAGAGCATTAACCATTACTATTAGGAGTCTCTATTGTCCCCCTCGATTTGTTTACTTTACCAGAGTTATTACCCATATAAAGAATTTAGCATTTTCACGTTTAATACTCGTGCTATATATGTACATACGTATTTTTCAATAATACATCTGTTTTTTGTATACGTCTTGGGCTCTATGATGTAAATTAAACCCGATTAAGTAATTAATTATTTATTTATTTGAATTATGTTTAAAATTCAAATATCATATAATGTTTTTGTCTAATTGAGTATGTCCTTATCTGATACCTGTTCCAACAGGTATCAGCCACTCTATTTAAACACAAGCAGTAATTAGGGGTGAGATTCTGCAAGAACAGGCCTTTATCTGCAAGAACAGTCAGTTTTTAATTTACTGCCATATTTAATTTCATTATTCTATTTTGTTGTTTAATTGAATTATTATAATAATATTGATTGTTGTTCCACCAACAAGTTTCCACACAAAAAAGAAGAAGAAATAATTGAATTCTCATATTGATTTTACAGTGAAATTTCTCTCTTTCCATATCCGCATTGAATATGTTGAAACTGGCAAATTTATATCAATAAAGTATAAATTAATGCGACTAGGAGGGTATTTTTTATTTATTTATATATTTTTAATAAACCGGCTATACCTTTTAAATATATTAAGCCGCACGGCTATACTACGGTAATTTTAAAATAAATATATATATAGTATAGTCGCGCAGCTATATTTGTTTTGATACATGGGCACCTAATCGCTAGGTGGATCTTTTTTTTTCCCTATAGATAGTATAGTTGGGTGTCTATACTCGAGTATTTTTTTCAAAAAAAATTTGTATAGCCGCGCAGCTATACTTGTTTTACACATAGGTGCTAGGCGGGTCCCTTTTTTAATGTATAAATAGTATAGCTACGCAACGACACTCGAGTATATTTATAAAAAGAATTAGTATAGCCATGTGTCTATATCTGTTTTCACACGTGATCACCTGGGCACTAGGCGGGTCCTCTTTTATTTATACATAGTATAGCCGCGAGGCTATACCTTGCAGACATCTTTCGAAAGTAATCCTATGGTGAGCACGAAAAACCTGTAGTTTAGAACACTCCCCTAATCCTTGCAAAATCTACTGTCAGGATGTTGCTAGAAGGTAAAGAACATGGTAGCTCTCTAGAAAGACGGTTATGGCTCAAATCGAGGACTCCAGACTTTTCAAGGACAAGACGAGTTCAAGTTGAACAAGTGAGCCATAAAATGAGTTTGTGGGACAGACTGATGTGCTAAAGTATATGTGTAGATGGTGACAAGTGTCATAATCTAGGCCATAGAAAGAAATATAAGCTTTCTCTTATATACTAGAACGAAGTACATAAATGAATAATTTGAAAAAGCTAATAATAATACAATACAATCTTTTATCATATTCTCCTTTATTCTATTTTCTTAAGCTCTGTTAACATGGTATTAAAGCTAGGTTCGATCCTGAGTTCTTCTGCTTTCGCTTTCTATGCCTTGACATTCTTTCTGGACCTTCTTGGAAATCGAAGTCAATTTATGCTTCTTCCACATCATTATTGGATTGTCAAGTTCATCAAACTGAATCAAGGTTTGGGTTTCTATTCAGCTTGCTATTGGGGATTTTCAGTCTCATATTTGATTTGAGTACGTCTCAATAGAGTTTTGTCATTGTTTTGGGAATTTCCAACATTCTTGATTGATTGCTAGTCAATTTTGGGGCTTTTATATGAGATTGCTGATTTCAAGCCTTCGAATTGGGGATTTACAAATTCATATATGCTTAATGTAATTCTCCCTTGATTTGAGACTTCACAGACCCATCGATTGGGATTTGTTGTTGTTGTGGTGGCATTCTATGTTCTTGGTGGATTGTTGCTCACATTAGGGCTTTTCCAAATTAGGGCTTTTCGATTGGGATTTGTTATTGTTTTATGTAAGATTACTACTCAAATTGTAGCTGCTCAGATTGATTCAATTCGCTGACTTCAATTCCATGTCTGCCTATGGAGGTTCTATTTCCTCAACTATGATATGTGGTGGACTTCAGATTGTTAATTGCATTCTTGCTATTTGGATCCTATGGATGTTCTTTTGGTATGTCCGTTGTTCATCCTCTATCTCTCTGATTTCAATAATTAGAGAAATACTATGTTCCAATGATTCAAGCTTTCTATCCACCTTTGATAGTTATTGTAGCCACTCCCAAATCAAATATTGAATTCCTTGCTATAAAATCACCTTCCTATTATTAAATACATCACCATGGACCAAATATTGATGGTTCATTTGTTATTTGCTTTGTCAATTTTCTAGTGCATGCAAAATCTCAGTATACCCCTATTCTTCACTCTTAAATCCCACTTCTTTGGAGAACAAGAAAATCTTCAATCAATCAATACTTACATGGTTCTATCACAATTCTCTTCTCACTCTTCTTATCTCAAGGGTCAAAGAATTTCCCATTTCTCATTCTCTTCTATCTCTTTTCTCCAATATCTAAGGCAACAAAAGAATTTCTCAATTCTTCCTATTTCCTATCTCCTTTCTACAATCTCTAAGGGTACAAAAGAATTTCCCATTTCTTCTTCCTTTCTATACCCTTTCTACAATCTCTCTGATTAGGGAACAAATGAATTTCCCAATTCTTCTTTATTTCTATCTCCTTTCTTTAAATTTTTAGGGAACAAAGAATTTCCCTCTTCTCTTATTCTATCTCTTTCTATATGTGGGGGCCTAATTTCTTATTGCGGATGCAATTATTTGGCAAATTTGGGATAGATGGTTCATACAGTGAATCAGTTGATAAATCTCATAGGCACACAGGTAATCATTTGTGGTCAATAAGGTTGTGAAATTCGTGGACTGGAAGAGTTGATGGAGCATGTTTTATGCCTCTGATATTACTTGTTAATCAGTTGCTGAAGTTTGATAGGGTGCCTCTCAATGGTTTACCTTCAGAATTCAACACTTTTAGGTGTGTTATGAGATGTCAAGAAAGTATGCTCTCATTCAAGGAGTTTCACTGTCAATTGCTTGTTGAAGAAATAATTATTGAATATTCTGGTCATGCTTGCTATGGAGGTTCAGATGATATAGCAGCCCTTGCAGATGTTGTCATGCCTCCCCTGTAGCATGAGTTTTGCCTCTCGGTTGTAGTATTTAGCATTCCTATGATGTCTGCTTGTTGACATTGGTTTGTTCATACTCCGTGATCATTTGATCAATGGCATAGTCGTTCTTTCTTTGTTCTGTCATGAACCTGCGCATCACCTCGCCTTGTTGCAATATCATGCTTGGTTTCACCAACCATGATCTTGAGGGGGGATGTTAGAGTATAAAGGGTTTAATGTGTAGATGGTGACAAGTGTCATAATCTAGGCCATAGAAAGAGATATAAACTCTCTCTTATATACTGGAACGATGTACAGAAATGAATAATCTGAAAAAGCTAATAATAATACAATACAATCTTTTATCAAATTCTCATTTATTCTATTTTCTTAAGCTCTGCTAACATGATGTGGGTAAGATGTGTGAGATTTGCAATTGATGCAGGCTTTAAAACCTCCCTAGATCCCTTTGGATGGCAAGAGCAAATGGGTGACCCGACCGTCCTGATTACAACTGATGCCAATCCAATGGGAGCAATCAATAGAAGTGATCCAATTTAATATGGAGGAGAAGAAAGAGTGAGGGCAAAGAAGGCCAGGAGAGAGCTGCGTTCGGTTTCATTGCATGCATGAATAGTTGGAGACATAATGGAAGAGAATAAGAGGATGAAAAGGAAAACAAGAGCCATTGGGTTATTAGAACTCTGCAATATAATGCCATGTTAGATTTAGATTGTTCACAGCTGGTTTGAATATTTATAGATGAGAAATTAAATTACAGAGTTAGAGGCAAAGCTATAAGAAAACGTTTCTTCATTAATGAATGGGCAAATCGTCATCCCAAACTGAGAAACTGGTTACTCATACTCCCTTCATACGTTATTTCTCAGTTTACAACGGAGTTTCGCGTGGTTTTGCTGGCTTACATCTCCGTAAAAAATTTCCATTAAATGTAAGGCATTTTCCTCCATCACTATAATTAAAAATAATTATAGAAAACATAATAATAATAAAAGAAAGTTAACCTAACTTTAAAGAATTTAATTTGGAACTCATCACCAACCAGGAATTGGTTCTTGGTCGCATCAAACTGCACAACCCTCAGAATTGGTCCTTGATTGTGTCTCAATTTCACTACTTTAATTTGGTGCCCTTGAATAATGCCTGCAGTGAGAGCATCCACAATGATGCTCTCTATTTCTTAGCTAAAATTTAGCTAAAAATATAAGAAAGCTATTTTAGGAGCTCTCTAAAAAATTTCAACTCCAACCATACTCCCTAATTTGGAGAGTCATAAATGTTATAACTTTTTTTGATTGGTCCATCTCTATTAAAAAATAAAATAAAAAATAGTTAGCATTAAATAAAGGTTTGAAATACTCATAAAATAAAATAGCATTAAATTATAGGGAGCCACTAGGAGTCCTTTCTCTCTTCTCAGATTTAGGAGCTCCTAAAGGACTCCCTATTTTAGGAGGTGGATAGGGAGCATGGTTGGAGTTGCATTTTTACAATTCCTCTCTAAAATTTGTCTAAGGAGGTGGTTTATAGGGAGCCCATTGCGGATGCTCTGAGTTTGCCAAAAGATACCAAGAGATGCCAAGAGACAAAGAGCAAAATAGGGTTTATGCAGAGTGTTGGGGGAAGGGGGACCGAATTGATTGACTTTTTTTTTTTTTTCTTTTTTTTTTTTTTTTTTTTTTTCCCAAGATCCATCAAAACCATATGAAGAATTTGCCTCACGTTTTTTTCTTTCCAAGATCTATGAAAACCACAACTCTACTTTTTCCGAATCTTCTAAGACTTATGAAAATCATGTGAAAACTAAGGCCTAAATCTCTGTGTGTTTTATAACCCACCAAAATCTCATCTGTCTTCCAGTTTCATTTCACAAGTAATCGAACTCCTCATCATTGCTGGTGATTGATATTTTTCTTTCTTTAAATTTGTTTTTTATAATTCTTTTTTGTTACGGTGAATTGAAGGAAACACCCTTACATTTAAAGAAAACTTAGTTAGACATAGGTGGTGGATTGCGACACTTTACAAAGTTTAGGTGGTTAAAAATAAAAATTTAAAGTTCATATGATAATGGCGCACATATCTAAAAGTTCAGGTGGTATTTATGCAAATATCCCTATAAGGAAATGCTGAATTTTAGGAAAGTGCTTTCATACTAATTGCTTACTTGGCGAGGGTGGACTGCATCCATTACTCTTGATGAAAATGAACCTATATCTAAGAAGCCCAATTTATGAATGGTCAAGATGAATCATGATAATGGTAATTTAGTTTCCAACCAAAAAAAAAATTATAAGAATTTGACACATGTAAAAATAAAAATACAATAATATATATGTATATAACTAACCTCTAAACCTTCTTTTCATTGCGATGATGCGCCCTGTTATCATCACATAGAGACTATCTTGTGTATAGTCTATGAATTGAAAATATGTGTATCTCCATGTACTGTTAATAACTAAAGAACCGCAAACTCCCCAAAATCCCACTATGAACCCCAAGACAACAAAAATATTAAACCATGGAAGTCGATGCCCATTGTCCTCGTCTTTGTTGTTGTTATTGTCTTCATCAACAACCTTATTTGGTCGACCACACTTATTTGGAAGTGGGGCACCACAAAGTTTGGGATTCCCCTCAAAGGTAGAAGCATCAAAGCTTTGGAGCTGGGTGCTTGTTGGTATTAGTCCTTGGAGATTATTGTATGAGACATCAAAATCTTTCAAGAAATTAAGGGTTGCCAATGAGGATGGCATTTTTCCAGACAAATGATTCATGGAAAGGTTCAAAGCCTCTAAATTTATGAGGTTAGATATTTGGTTTGGAATGATGCCGGAGAAGTTGTTTGAGCCAAGGCGCAACTGCCGGAGAAGTTGTAATTGGCCGATCTCATTAGGTATATCACCAACAATGTTATTTTCGGATAGGTCTATCGTTGCTGGATAAGAAGACAACGTCGACCATAGATAATAACTTGGGTTTGAGATTATGGGGCCCAAGAAGAAAGGCAATTCGAATTTATAACTAGTGTTGTCCATTTGAGATGCAATATTAGGTTCATAAAGCAACCTTGGTAGTCTGCAAAGTTGCTTTGGAAATTCACCTGAAATTTGGTTGTTTTGCAAGCTTATATAAAATAGTCGGGGAAGAGTCCCCAACCAACTTGGAATTGGCCCTGTGATTTGATTAAAACCCAGTTGCAAGATCTCTAGATTCTTCAGCTTTGATAACCACATAGGTACTTGACCGGTGAGCTGACAATAGGCCATACTCAATAAACGAAGATTTTGGAATACGTCAAAATGAACCATGTCATCACCAACTGGCATTGCCTCACCTTCAAAGGAACCACTAAGCATGAGTGCTTGAAGGCTTTTGGAACTCATCAATATCTGCATTGCCCCTGTCAGGTTAGTGAATTGGTTGAAACCAAGCGAGATGAAGGACAAGGATTTCAATGAAAGAATCTCAACTTTTATTTGTCCCTCTAAATGATTTCCAGTCAACCGAATGGCTTTTAGGGACGTACATGAGTAAATGCTTATTGGAAATGTACCAGTGAAGTTATTGAGCCTCAGGTCAAGTTTAGTAAGTTGACTAAGTCTGGAGAAATCAAGCATGGAGATATCTCCTTCTAAATTGTTGGATCCCAAACGTAGTTCTATAAGGTTTGTGCAATTCATCAAAGATGGAGGCAAAGCACCTTCTAAATTGTTGAAATCAAGGGTCACAAACTTCAACTTGGAGAGTTTTCCCAAATTGAAAGGAAGCTCACCGCTGAATTGATTAAAGTAGAGGTCAAGGATTGCAAGGTTGGTGAGGTTGACAATTTTATCACTAATGGCTCCACGTAGTGAATTGAGAGGTAATGCAATTTCTTCAAGTTTGGTAGCATTATAGATGTCTTCTGGAAATAAACCTGAGAGGTTATTGTGACCAGCCCGAAAAACCTGCAGTTCAGAACACTCCCCTAACCCAAGAGCAAGGTTTCCATTGAATACATTGAAAGAAAAATCCAAGAGCCTAAGGAAGGGAGAAGAATGTTTGAGACAAATAGAGGATGGAACATACCCTCTGAAGATATTGTTGCTGACATTAAAACTTGTCAAGTTGCTTGCTTGTTGGAAGAATGAAGATGGAATTGCTCCATGAAAGTAATTGCTGGACAAATACACTATTCGAATATTACTGGATGGTAGAGAAAGTGGTAGCTCTCCAGAAAGGTGGTTATAGCTCAAATCAAGGAACTCGAGTCGATTCAAAGACAAGAAGAACTTTGTTTCAAGTGAACCATATAGTGAATTGTGGGAAAGGTTCAAGTGGGTGAGATGTGTGAAATTTCCAAGTGAAGAGCGAGAGATACCTCCTTTGAGCCCTTTGGAAGGTAAGAGCAAATGCGTGACCCAACCATCTTGATCACAAGCGATGCCCTTCCAGTGACAGCAATCAAGTGATGTCCAATTTATTAAAGGAGGAGCAGAGAGAGTTGAGGCAAAGGACAGGAGGGAGCTGCGTTCAGTTTGTTTGCAGGCATGAATATTTGTAGATATAATGTAAGAGAATAAGAGGAAGAGAAGGAAGTCATGAGCCATTAAGTTATAATAAGGCTGCTTTATGTGCCGTTGCTCACAGGTTTGTATATATACATACATATGTATATATATATCGGCAAACAACAACCACACAATGCAAATTATTGATACTCAAAGAGAAACCCTCATTGGGTCTTAAGAGGGGGCCACCACAGGAGAGGACTTTGTCGTGTTGATAATTTTCTCGGAAATTTGGTAGATATATGGTCTTATTTAATACGGTACGCATGCATTGCTAGTCAAGCCTGATCTCAGCATTACATTGATGTCCCATCACAAGTCTTCGTCATCCATTGTTTATCAAACGGAACAAAATTATGTAATTTGCACCTTTATGTATAAAGGACACACAGTCATTGGGAGAGAAATGCATTTCTTTCAGCTGTTGAGGAAATTGTGATGAAGTTAACCTGACTGGATTGGACACTCCGTCCTTTTCTGCTAAACTTCTGAGCTCCTCCAAGTACTCAACATTTTCTCTCAACCGCTTATGAAATCCACCTAACATTGGACACAGGGGCGGTTCCAGCCTGTGGCAGGCTGGGCTCATACCCGGCCCAAATTTATGTTAAATAAATATTACCCGCACTTTTTTCTCTCCTCTCGTCTCTTTTGCCTGGGCCTAATTTTTGTTAAAAAAAATATTACATACACTCTCATCTCTCTCCTCTCCTTCTTTTTAGAGTAATGATTTCTCACTCTAATTTTATCCACTTACACTCATTTTTTAGTTATAAAATGGAGTATAAGGGGGGTGTATTCAATTGAAATTTTAATAGATTATAATTACATGATTTTAATGTAATAGATTTCAACCTGATTTGTAATTACATGATTTTTCTTATGATTTTAATGATTGTAATTATAAGATTTTACTTATGATTTTAATTCATGTAGGACTTGCTTGTATTCTCCAAAGTAGATTTCACTGAAGTGTGGATTGGATTCAGGTTAGCCATCTTTCATCCATTAGTTAAAGGATGCCAAGCCTTTAAAGAAGCAGAAAGTTGAAGTTACACCAATCTTAGCTCAAGTTATCATTACTATCTGTCATGTTTGGCTATCTTCAAATTATCCTGTTCTAGAGCTAAAACCATAGCAGTCCCAAACTTCAAACATAACTATCATTAAACTAGAACCGTACATCTATTAAGTTTTGGATAGAGAACTTGGTCTGGAACTAAGAATTGACATAGGAAACAAGCCATAAGAAGGAAAAATCTTGAATTAATTGAATTTATAAATATTACAACAGACAAGTTAATTAAATCAATTCAAATAAGAAACTGGACAGCTGAAAACAAGTCAAAATGGTCCAGCTATGACATGAAACTAGTATAGAACACTTGTCACTCAAATTAATTCCACAATTGACTAAAGAAAGACAAATAAATCAAAGGAAATAAATGAGCTGAAAATCTATTGAGAAAAATGCATGCATATTGCACAATATGAACAACTATTGAAAGCAACGTATCTGACATTATTGTTTAGATGTCTGAAGGTAAGCCAGCTGAGTCTCCTTTTTTAATGGGCAAAGAGATTATCCGTAAAATGAAAGCGAACAAACAGTATAGACATGAAGCCAAAAGAAAGGCGAGAAGCACCTCTTGCAACCAAACAGCCGGAGAAAAAGAAAACAAGATAGAGTAGAGAAAGCAAAGACACCTATCTGAGTCTATCCACTAAATACAGAAGGATCGAGTCTGGTTAAACCAAGCTTTTGTAAAGACATGAGTACCTTGTTTATCTTCATTTGTTCATCTTCCCCAAAAACAAAAAACGTGAGAATCATACATAGGAGGGTGGGATTTTTATGGGGTTTGGTATTTATATCACCCACTCAAAAGTCTTACACAATACACTATTTAACAAAATACCTCAAAATTGGTAAGTTTTTTAATACCACCGTACTTTTTCTTATCTTTTAAAAGTCCTAATTGAATACCACAAGACTTGGATTGATTATTTAAAAATCTTATTTGAATACCACCATATTTTTATTGATTACTTAAAAATCATAATTTGATACCACTGGACTTTTAAGCTTCAAAACAATCTATTAAAATCTCAATTGAATACACCCCCTAAGGAGATAAAATTGGAGTGATGAAAACACCACTCTTTTTTTTATTCTTTTCCTCACACTCTCCTCTCTCATCTCTCCTTTTTTCATTCTTTTCCTTACACTCTCCTCTCTCCTCTCTCCTTTTTTTTATTCTTTTCCTTCTCTCCTCTCTATCTCTCTTTTTTTCCATTGTTTTCCTTCTCTCATCCCTTCTCTCTTTTTTTTTCGTTCTTTTTCTTCTCTCTCTCTCTCTCTCTCTCTCTCTCTCTCTCTCTCTCTCTTCTTCCTTTTCCTTCTCTCTTTTTGTTAGAAAAATATTACCTACATTACTTATGATTATTTAAAAAAATTGTCTTGCACAAAGATAACTATTTCAGAAATTGCGAAACATAATTGATAGGGCTATGGAGCTCGAGGTGGAAACCTAAAAACGGATGTCATAATAAACGTTTATAAAAGGAAATAAGGAGAGAAATAAGGTAACTTCCTTCCCATTTCTCTCTTGTTTTTTTTTAAATTAATGTAGTCCTCTATATTATCTTTCTTTTTAACGTGAAATAATTTTTTTTTCTATTTTATTCTTTTGGTTTTTATTTTAGTTTTTGTATTTGTAGATATAAATGCATTTGAGGGTAAGGCTTATTACGTCTCCTCTCACTATGTAATTTTTTTAATGTTTATTAATGAAATTCACTCGTTTCGTCAAGTTTGTTATATAAGTTTTGCCCGGTCGGCTTTCGAATCCTAGAACCGCCACTGATTGGACATGTATTGGATGTTGGAGTTTGAAAGGCAAATGAAGAGCTTTTTGTCCCCCATCGAAAACCCACACACTTTTAGTAAGGTGTTTATAAACTAAGAGCATCTCCAACAGTAATAGCAAATACTTCAAATTAAAATTTGTTGGCCTATGTGGCAATTTGAAAAGGTTTATTTGCTACTTGAATTATTTTTGCTCCAACAGACTCTTCAATTCAATTAATGCAACATCATTGAAAAATATGAAAACATATGAAAAATAATTGGAATCCAGTTTTGCCACATCAGCAGTTAACATAATTTTTTACGGTTTTTCTGACAGAATGTGTATTTTGGAAGGTTCCATGAAGTTTGTGTACTAGTCAAATGGGTCAATAAATGTTGGGTATGAGTTTGTAAGGCCATCTCCAGTCATAGAGCTAAATGTAATCCATGACTATAAATTTAGCTCTTCAAAATATTAATTTTTTAAAGAATAATGTAGGGCTAAATTTTTCTATCTACAGGCTACAGCCATGCAGGACTATATTTTAGGGCCTTTCATATTTTATTATTTTGAGAAAAACTATGGTACACCACTCATACATTCCACTACTATGTATTGTTTAATTTAATTAAACTACTATTTAGAGACAATATTCCACTACGCTATCTTCAGAGACTTTTATGAAAACCTTGCAAAGATATTCATCTTCCACTTATGACCAATTTTTCCCTTCGAAGTCCGGGACATTTTTCAAACAATGTGAATAACAAAATAAGTAAAGAGAACAAATTTATAGGAAATGTTTGGATGAAATGAGTGTGGAAAATATTTGACAAAAAGAAAGAGTGTGGAAAGTTGTGAATAAGTAGAGAATGTGATAGAATTTGTAAGGAATATGGAATGAAATGAGTGGGAAAATTTTTGAAGAAATTTTGAGGTATTTATAGACATTTTATTTTTAGGTTTTTAAAAAAAAAATTCAAAAATAATGATAATAAAGACAACGAAGGTAATTTTAAAAAAAAAAAAAAAAAAAAAAAAAAAAAAAAAAAAGCATTTCAAAAGGTTATGACCTCCCAATGATTAGAACCAATTGTTTATATTTATTTTTTAAAGAATTTTATATACATTTGAAATGTAAAAAGAGAGAAAAGAAAAAAAAGAGTAACGTTTCAAATCAAATTTATATATATATTTAAAACAAAACGAATTTAAATACATTTAAAAATGTTATAAAACAAAAACTAGCGGCTAGGAGACGTCAATGCGCCTTTAATATTAGCATTTGGATATGCAGTTGCACGAGATATTCCATGTTCACGCTCATGAGTGATACTTTGTCTTCTTGAAAAACACATGCATTGGGCAGACAAAAAAATTGGGCATGGGTTATAGCTAGGCTACAAGTAGCCTGGTGAGAGGGCTAAAGGTGTCCCTCCAAATTTGGCCAAATGTTTTTTTAGCCTATGACTGGAGATAGGTTTTGCATTATTTTATGGCTATATTTGGTCATGACTAGAGATGGCTTAATGACTCCATAATTTGGGGATTTATTGTAGTTGATCCTAAAAAAAATAATAAATAAAGCAACAGTAGTTGAAGGAAGAGAAATGCATAAATTGAACCAAATAGCCTCGTAGGAGCCCAAAGGACCATTTGGTTGGCCAGTTGGTAAAAGTTAATACAAAATGAAAAACTGCTACCAGCGCCAATCCACGCCACGTAGGAGTTAAACACTTTGGTCGGAGTACGTTTTGCAGTTTTTTTTTCCAGCTGATTTAGCTTCCACACAGGATTTAACATTTCTTCTTAAGACGCTGTTAGTTGAAAACGGAATAGTTATGCCAATTTCACCAACCATGCATTTGTTGATTTGAACTGCCCCCTTCAGATCAAAATGCCTTCATACTCAGCGGTATTTTTCCTAGCATTTTCGAGGGCTCAATCGGCAGTGGCTTTAATGAAGATTTCAGCCGCTTTATTTCGTTTCTTTTAGCTTGAGATTATTGACCCAAAGCAAAGACCTTGTTATTTTGAAGTCTATAGACCATAGTGATTGGGCGTCCAAAGTCAATGTGATGGGATTGCATATAATATTAGTCAATGTGATGGGCTTGAATTCGAGGACGAATTCTTTCCAACCAGGGGAGTCTGATGCAGGAGCATAGGGGTGGATCAAGATAGATATTTACCATTTAATTAGCTATTTCTTGATATATTGTTATTTTCTTATTTAGGTAGTTTTAGGATATCTTTTATTATTTATGTGTGATTTTATAATTAATTGGTTTGCTTTTGGACCAAACAGTCTTGGTGCCCAAGTCTTGTAAAGCCTATAAATAAGGCTATTGTAATAGTTGTAGGGGGTTGGATGTTGATGATTAATGAAATAGGTTATTTGTGGCATGGATTTGCTACGATATATGTGAGTTTGTATTAGCCATAGATTTCGGTGCTCGTGTATGTGGTTGGTGACCTGTGTCCTGACCTCGATCCCCATCAAAAATGCCTTCATACTCAGCGGTATTTTTCCTAGCATTTTCAAGGGCTCAATCGACTGTGGCTTTGAAGATTTCAGCCGCTTTATTTCGTTTCTTTTAGCTTGAGATTATTGACCCAAAGCAAAGGCCTTGTTATTTTGAAGTCTATAGACCATAGTGATTGGGTGTCCAAAGTCAATGTGATGGGATTGCATATAATATTAGTCAAGTATATCATGCGTGGTTGCAGACGTTTCACTTTCATGAAGCGATTCCGTATTTGAAAAATGAAGAAGATTTGCTGAAATTTCATCTTTGATTTTGAAGGCATTCGGAATTTCTTTTAGCTTGAAAATGATTTATCATTAAAGGCAAAACATCACTGCAAACTGAGAAATTGGCAAACAACTATAACCATACGATACAAATTCTTCAAATCCCCTCTATATCTATACGTTGAAGAGAGATTTTAAGAGGAAATAAAGACTTTGTCCCACTCTCGGATAATGAAATCACCAAATGCTGCCCCACACTAAGTGTGAGATTTATTCTTTTAAAAAAAGGTTTTTCTATAAAACTTGAATACGAATTTGATCTAGCACAATGCCATCATTGTATGGCCAATTGTAGTACATGGCTTTCAACTAATGTAGCTAAATTGTAAACCGCATTAAGTCTAAAGAGAGCCACGATGAGAGGACCAGACCCCCTTATTCCACAGCGTTACTATCAAGTGTGTTACTATTCAAATTATCCAAGGAAAATATCATCAAGTGTCTTACTATTCAAATTATCTAAGGAAAATATCAAGTGTCTTACATATTCCAAACACTATTCTCAGATTGACAAAAAATGAAAAAGAAAGAGAAGACAGATTATGAAACAAACTGTGTGCCTTACATAAGGAAACTTCAAAAAATACAAAATTTAAAGTACATGCTAGCAACCTTCTCTCTAATTTTCTTCTTTGGACCTTCTCCCTTTTTTGCTTGACATGTGTCATTCTCCTTACACTTAAAACAATGTTATTAATCTATTATACAAGTTAACTTTTGCTTTTCAAGTTTATCCTTATTAAATGTATTCAATTTATCCAAAAAAAAATTTACAACTTTCTTACCATCTTATTAATTTTTTTTAAACATCAATTATTTTTTAAGAAAATGTCTGCTTTTTTCAAACACAAAAGGTTTAGAGGAAATGTCCCCTTTTTTTTTTAAACACAAATTATTTTTTTTATTTAAATTTCTATCTAAACCTTTTTGTGTATTAAAAAAAAAAAAAAAAAAAAAAAAAAAAAAAAGGAAAAAAAATTCCTCTTAAAAAGCAGACATTTTCTTTTTTTAAAAAAATTGAGATTAGTAAAAAATTACTAAGATGGTAAGAAAGTTGTGAAATTTTGTGGATAAATTTAATAAGGGTAAACTTAGAAAGCAAAAGTTAGCTTGTATAATATATTAATGACATTGTTTTAAGTGTAAGAAGAATGACACATGTCAAGCAAAAAAAGAAAAATGTCCAAAAACAAAGGTTAGAGAGAAAATTGCTAACATCCTCTTATATGAATTGGGCATTGGTAGATTTGAGAAAACATCAGGCATTAAATGAATTGGATGTGACTAAACATTTTGAGATATTAAGTCTTGTCTTAATGTGCAGTTAGGTCATATTGGGATTCTTACGTGTTCGTCATTCAGAGGGTTGTAAGAGTTACCTTTTACCAATATGACCATGTACAGTTAGGGCATACATGCCGTATTAAATAACATCCAAAGACTTTGGGAACTTTGTAGTCCTGCTGGCCCCCCTCTTAAGATTCAATGAGGTATTCTCTTTGGTTTCATTAATGCAAATCTCTCTTCGATATCAATAATTTGCATTGTGTGGTTGTTGTTTGCCGACGTCTCAATTTGCATTGATGTTTATATATATATATATATATATATATATATATATATATATATACAAATCTGTGAGCAACTGCACATACACAAAGCAACATGCAAATGCAGCCTTACAACCTAATGGCTCATGCCTTCCTTCTCTTCCTCTTATTCTCTCGCATTACATCTATGAATATTCATGCATGCAAACACACTGAACGCAGCTCCCTCCTGTCCTTTGCCTCCGCTGTATCTGCTCCTCCTTTAAATTGGACATCCCTTGATTGTTGTCGTTGGAAGGGTATCACTTGCAATCAAGATGGTTGGGTCACCCATTTGCTCTTGCCTTCCAAAGGGCTCAAAGGAGGTCTCTCTCCATCTTCACTTGGAAATCTCACACATCTCACCCACTTGAACCTATCACACAATTCACTTCTTGGTTCACTTGAAACCAAACTCTTCTTGTCGTTGAATTGTCTTGAGATCCTTGATTTGAGCTATAACCTTCTTTCTGGAGAGCTACCATTTTCTCTACCATCCAGAAATATCCGGACAGTAGATTTGTCCAGCAATCACTTCTTTGGTGCTATTCCATCTTCATTCTTTCAACAAGCAAGCAACTTGACTAGTTTCAATGTCAGCAACAATACCTTCACAGGGTATGTCCCATCCTCTATTTGTCTCAATTCTTCTCCCTTCCTTAGGCTATTGGATTTTTCTTCCAATCAATTCAATGGCAACCTTGCTCCTGGACTGGGGAAGTGTTCCAAACTACAAGTTTTTTGTGCAGGTCACAATAACCTCTCAGGAGTACTTCCAGAAGATATTTATAATGCTACCAAACTTGAAGAAATTTCATTACCTCTCAATTCACTACATGGAGCAATTAGTGACAAAATTGTCAACCTCACCAACCTTGCAATCCTTGTTCTTTACATTAATCAATTGAGCGGCAAGCTTCCTCCCAATTTGGGGAAGCTTTCCAAGTTGAAGTTTGTGACCCTTGATTTCAACAATTTAGAAGGTGCTTTGCCCCCATCTCTGATGAATTGCACAAACCTTGTAGAACTACGTTTGGGATCGAACAACTTGGAAGGAGATATCTCCATGCTTGATTTCTCCAGACTTAACCAACTTGCTAAACTTGACCTAAGGGTCAACAACTTAACTGGTACGTTTCCAGTAAGCCTTTACTCTTGTAGGTCCCTAAAAGCCATTCGATTAACTGGAAATAATCTAGTGGGACAAATACAAGCTCAGATTCTTTCACTGAAATCCTTGTCCTTCCTTTCGCTTGGTTTCAACCAATTCACCAATCTCACGGGGGCAATGAAGATACTGATGAGTTGCAAAAGTCTTCGCGCACTCATGCTTAGTGGTTCCTTTAAAGGTGAGGAAATGCCAACTGATGATGACATGGTTGATTTTGACGGATTCCAAAATCTTCGGGTATTGTGTTTGGTTGAAAGTCGCCTCACTGGTCAACTACCTGTGTGGTTATCAGAGCTCCATAATCTAGAGATTTTGCTTCTAAGTGGTAATGAAATAACAGGGCCAATTCCAAGTTGGTTGGGGACTCTTCCTAGACTGTTTTACATCAACTTGTCAGAAAACCGATTTTCAGGTGAATTTCCAAAGCAACTTTGTAGACTACCAAGGTTGGTATATGAACCTAATATTACATCTCAAGTAGACTACACTAGTTATGAGTTTGAATTGCCTTTCTACTTTGGCCCAGTCGCCAGAAACCCAAATTATTATTTGTCATCCAAAATTTCTTCCTATCCTGCAATAATAGACTTATCTAACAATAACATTGTTGGTGACATACCTATTGAGGTCGGCCAATTGCAGCTTCTCCATGGGTTGGTTCTTCGCGCCAACAACTTATCCGGCATCATTCCAGACCAAATATCTAACCTAAAAAATTTAGAGGTTTTGAACCTCTCCATGAACCACTTGTCTGGAATAATCCCATCGTCATTGGCGAGCCTTACTTTCTTGAAAGAATTTAATGTCTCATACAATAATCTCCAAGGACCAATACCAACAAGCACTCAGCTCCAAAGCTTCAACGCTTCTGCCTTTGAGGGGAATCCAAAACTTTGTGGTGCACCACTTCCAAATAAGTGTGATCGACCAAATAAAGGCATTGATGAAGATAACAAGAAGAACAACAAAGACATGGACAATGGGCTTCATCAACTTCCATGGTTTTATATTTCTTCTATTGTGCTAGGGTTCATAGTGGGATTTTGGGGAGTGTGTGGTTCTTTAATTATTAACAAGACATGGAGATATGCGTATTTTCGATTCATATACAATGTACAAGATAGGCTCTATGTGATAAGAACAGTGCGCATCAACATGATAAAGAGAAAGCCTTAGAGGCTATTATTGTACTTTTTATTTTTTATTTGCGTTTCTTGTTTTCTTGTTTTCTTTTTCTTTTTAGCGTTCCTGATGTAATACGGCACAGTTTGTGCTTATAATTATATCTTATTTTTTGATGCAGTTTCTTTCACGCTACCTTTTGCAATCAACAATAAAGACGGATTTTTGGCTGTCCGAAGTCATGAATACTGTATCAAATGAATACAAAAATGGGTAGTCAAAATTTAATGCAGCACATACTTGTGAAACCAAAACAAGCAACAAATACAACTTCAGCTACAGATTTGGCTGTCCAGGTCAGTGCAAATGCTTATTTGATTGAAATGAATTAATTTCAAAGGAGGACAACGCAATTATCTTCTTTAATTAACCTATGACAATCTTCCAAATTTTTTGAATGTAGTGGTTGCCTTCCACTGGGGTCAAGTGGTTGGAGTCGTCGCAGTTTTTGAAATAAGGAGGTCTGATGCTCTCATCGAGGACCCCTCTTTAGACTTAATGTGGTCTACAATTTGGCAACATTAGTTGGAACCTCTTTTCAACGTATCTAAGCAACAAAATATGGATTTTCAATCCCCCTGAATTATCATGTACACTAATTCCACTATTCCTTGAATTATTTTGTATGCCAATTTATTTCTCAAATTCATTATAAATATCCAATTCCGTTATTGTCATTAAATTTTTCGAATTCCATCCAATCTGTAACAACCTCACATGCTTGACACATGACCAATTTTTTTAAAAATTTTACAATTTAAATTAAAATAAATAGTAAATAACAAAGTTGTAAAAAAATCAAAAGAGAGGGTTTCGACAAAAAAAAAATATATATCAAAAGAGAGGGTAGACAGTCAGTGGCGGAGCTACAGCCAGGCCTGCCATGGCCCTGGCCCCCCCACTTAATTATTAATCTCTTGTAATATATTATAAAATATATGATATAGTAATACAAAAACTGCAATTAAATTAGTGATGGCCCTCCCAGTTGAAGATTAAAAACCTAGTATAAGTGATTTTGAAATTTTGGCCCCTCCATACTAAGAATCCTAGCTCCGCCACTGTAGACAGTCATTGTTGGGCTTAATAATTAGTAGTTGTAAGTTGAGTCCACTCAGAGAATAGAGTGTAGTAGAGCAAGTGTGATCTAGGTATACCACATTTGCATATCACCTTGGTACCATAACAAAACAAAACAAAAATATAGAAATTGACTGTGCCCAAATCAGGATGAATAATAGCAACATTCAAGTTTGAGCTTCCTTTCTTCGCCATTTTCAGCTCTCCTCCAATTCTCTGCAAATTCTCAAAAGATAAGTTTTTTCTGCAATTTTGAGCCAAAACTGGGTCGGGTCTGGCCCAACATTTGTAATATAAAACTATTGGGTTCTGCCCAATTTGATATGATCCGACCCATTTCAGTTTCGGACCAAAACAAGTCGATCGTTGTCTTACTCAATTCTCAACTTGTCGCAAAGAAGAGTCTGAAGAAGAGAAGAGAAGAGCAATGAGTGGAGAAGAATTAGCGTGGATACCCCAATGCCTTGGATTACATTTGGTGTCAAAGAAAAGTAATATCTATCTTAAATTTATTTCTTGTGTCAAAGTAATGTAATTAATCAACATTTGATAGTTGAAAAAGAAAAACAAATGAAGATGTAATTAATCCAAGTTTTGAGCATTTCCTTTGTTTTGCTTTCTGTTTGGTTGGCTGGTTTCTGCCCCAGCTTCTTTCTTTTGTCCGTTTCCTTTTGTGGGCTTTTATTGAATTCATGTTTCGACAAAAAAGTACAATAATATCTAGCCTCTGAGCTTTCTCTTCACCCTGTTCATGGACATTATGGTGGCTCTCCATTGTTGCTGCAGTCATGTGCTGAAATATGAAAGCTATGAGAGAATATTTGTTTGTGGGAATTTTCTGTGTATACTTCTCCTTGTAGAAGGTCATATTTATAATACAACAAAACCTAAATGGGCAAGTAAATAATAAATTCCTGAATCTATTTACAGTAGGAAATCAGGAATTAAAGTAAATCAATTACAATTATAATAGGAATTCTTGGTGTGTAAGGAAAATAAGTCAATATCCACAAGTCACGCCAACACTCCCCCTCACGTTGGTGTATAGATGTCGCCAATGCCCAACTGATCCAGTGAATTGTGGAATGCTTTATTGAAAATCGCATTTGTCAAAATATCCACCAATTGATCCTCGGATTTCACAAAATGAAACTGAAACACTTTAGCCTCAAGCTTCTATTTGATGAAGTGTCGATCCACCTCAACATGTTTAGTACGATCATGCTGAACCGGATTCTGTGCAATAGCTATAGCAGCCTTGTTGTCACAAAAGAGATTCATTGTGGATGTAGGTTTATACCCAAGTTCAATAAGCAACTTTCTTAACCAAAGAAGTTCACAAATCCCTTTAGTCATGCCTCTGAACTCGGCTTCTGCATTGGATAAAGCTACTACATTATGTTTCTTGCTCCTCCATGTCACCAAATTACCTCCCACGAATGTGAAGTAACCCAATGTGGATTTTCTATCTGTTACATTACCTGCCCAATTTGCATCTGAATAACCATTAATATTTTGATGACCATGCTTTGAGAACATAAGTCCTTTTCCAGGTGCAGACTTCAAATATCTAAGTATCCGAAGAACTGCATTCATGTGGTCTTCACTTGGAAAGTGCATAAATTGACTGACAACGCTCACCACATAAGCAATGTCTGGTCGAGTATGTGACAAATAGATCAATCTTCCCACTAACCTTTGGTATCTTTCTTTGTTAGTTGGAATTTGATCTAGATATTCTCCAAGATAATGATTCTGAACAATAGGGGTGCCCGCAAGTTTGCAATCTAGCATTCATGTGTCTATCAACAAGTCCAAGACATATTTCCTTGGAGAGAGAAATATACCTTGCTGCGATCGAGCCACCTCAATTCCCAAGAAATACTTGAGTCCACCTAGATCCTTCATCTCAAGCTCAGTAGCCAAATAGTCTTGTAGCTGTGATATTTCCCGTTTATCATCCCCAATAATAATCATATCATCAACATAGATTATTAATGTTGTTACCTTCCTTTTCCGATGTTTCAAGAACAGAGTATGATCTGAGTTGCACTGTTTGAAACCATTGTTCTTCATTTCCATGGTGAACCGTCCAAACCATGCACGTGGTGACTGTTTCAATCCATACAATGCTTTTCGTACGTAACCTGCAAACTGTTCCAGTCTGAGTAGTATTATATCCATGAAGAATGTCCATGTACACCTCCTCCATGAGTTCGCCATGTAGAAAGTATTCTTTACATCAAACTCGTGTAGTGGCCAATCTAAATTAGCTGCAAGGGACAATAAGACTCTTACGGTGTTTAACTTTGCAACTGGTGCAAAAGTTTCTTCATAGTCTATACGTATCATAGGTCTATGTGTACCATTTTGCCACAAGTCTTGCCTTGTATTGGTCGATAGATCCATCTGCATTGTGTTTTATAGTAAACATTCATCTACATCCGATAGTCTTTTTTTCTCGTGGTATAGTCTACAATGTCCAAGTCTGATTTTTCTCAAGAGCTTTCATCTCCTCTTTTATAGCTTGGACCCACTTAGGATCTTTCAATGCTTCAGAGACCTTGATTGGAATATGGATATCAGACAACTGATTCACAAAAGCCTTTAGTGTTTTAGACAGCTTCTCAGTGGATACATGATTTGCAATTGGATACTTGGATGTCTTGCCAATATCAGGTGAATAACAGTTTGGTAGCTTCCCACGATTTTGCTTGAAAGGTAATTGATATCTAATAGTTTTATCCTCTAAATGCACAAGTCTAGTAGGAGTATTTACCTCAAAGATATTCTCAGAAGATTGGTTTGTTGGTACTGTTGAATGAGAGGGGGGTCTTTATCTTGTTGTTCTGAGTTGTCTGTAGGAGTATGACTCGAATCACAAACAGCTTCGCAAGGGTTAGGCGATCGATCGTTGTTTGGCAGAGAACATTCACACGTGCCAGATTCAGGACGATCGATTGTTATTGTTTCTTGGGCGAGAGCAATCTTCTTGCATAGATGACTATCTTCGTTTTTCAAGCTACTCCAATTGAGCTCTTCACTCGGTATCTCCACCTAAAGAGTAGAATTGGATGATGGGTCATAGAAGAACATCTTTGATTCCAGAAAGGTGACATATAAAGTGACATAGGTTCGCCGGGTAGGAGGGTGATAACATCGGTAGCCTTTTTGATGAGTGGCATAACTCAAAAAAACACAACAAATCGCACATGGATCAACTTTGCTTCGTTGATTTTTGTGGAGATGAACGAAGGCCACACAGCCAAAAATGCAAGGGGTAAGCACCAAAATAGAGGGCAGAGACCCGTGTTGCACGAGCACTTGTAATGGAGTTTTGAAGTTCAAGACCCCAAATGGCATGCAATTGATAAGATGGACAACAGTGACGACAACATCATCCCAGTGATAACGAGGAACATGGCCACCAATGAGAAGAGCATGGGCTATTTCAAGGAGATGACGATTCTTCCGTTCGGCAACACCAGTTTGTTGTGGTGTTTGAGGGCAAGTTGTCTTATGAATAATGCCATGTGTCTGGAAGTATGTCTGAAAATCATGATTAACAAATTCTCCACCATTGTCAGAGCGAAGAATCTATATTCGAGCATTGAACTGTGTTTGTGAAAGGATTGGAACAGAGAAAACACTTCATTCTTATTTTTCATTAGAAAAAGCCATGTCATCTGTGTACAATCATCTACGAATGTGACAAACCAACGAATACCAGAATGAGTAGAAATAGGTGAGGGTCCCCAAACATTAAAATGAATTAAAGCAAAAGGAATAGTACTTTTATTCATACTTAAAGGATAGGATGCTCTATGACTCTTGGCTAAAATGCAAGTGTCACATTTAAAATCTAAGTCCTTAAATATAGAAAACAACTCAGGTAATAAGTATCTCATATAACCAAAAGATGGATGCCCCAAACGTCGGTGTCATAGCCAAATCTATCGGTGCTTGTTATCATACGGATGCTTCACACTATTGGCACGTCCCATACTGAAGTCATCCACATAGTACAGCCCCTTTCGTTTAGTACCATGCCCAATGATCTCTTTGGTGAGAATATCCTGTAATAAACAAAAATTGGAATAAATTAGTGCATAACAATTTAGTTGTTCAGTTGCCTGACTCACAGACATTAATTTATTGGACAAATATGGAACGAGTAGAGTATTGGAAAGGGACAGAGAAGGTGAAAGGGCGACAGTGCCGACCCCTGTCACAGGATAGGTAACTCCATTTGCATTGGCAATACTTGTGCGGTGGGGTGTAGTGGTGTGGAAAAAATCATTCGGATCAAAGGTCATATGATCAGTGGCACCAGAATGAATTATCCAACTAGTAGTATCTAGTAGATCAGAAGTATGAAATGCATAATCGCAGTTACCTGAGACATCCGGAAGCGCGAGACTCTCAGTAGGGTCTACTTGCGGGAACAAGGCTAATTAAGGTTCGGTAGAGACAAGAGCAGCACGGTTGGAATTACTAGCAGTTTCTCTGAGCTTGCGAGCGCGGAGGTCCTCCCACCAATCAGGATAACCATTCAACTTAAAATAGGTGTCACGGGTATGTTTGGGGTTGCCATAGTGCGTGCAACCACTTCCATCAGTCGGAGCCTTGGGACGGGAAGGTGTGATGGTTTTAGGAGGTGGCGCACCAGCAGCAGTAGCATATGACTGGATTTGAAGGTGGGCCGCAATAGAGGAATTATGGGGCTGTCCAACACGAGTAGGGGGACCTAATCAAGGCGCACTCTTGGCCACTAAGCCAGCGCCAGTGGGTGCAGATGAACCTATCATCACTGCTTGTCGAACATCTTCACGGCGAACATAGGCATAAGCTTGGTCCACAGTAGGGAATGGAGTCATGTGAAGAACATCACTTCAAGCCTTATCAAGACAATCATCAAGGCCATCCAAAAATATGTAAACTCGATCTTCTTGCAAAATATCATTATAGCGCTTGATATCACTTTCATACTCCATCATATTTGGATGACGGAAATCAATTTCTCTCTATAAGCTTTGGAGAGTATTGTAATAGGTTTCAATGGAGCCATCAGCTTGTCGCATATTTGGAGACTTGTCGTTTCAGATCATAAACCTAAGAGGTGTCAGTGCCATCATAATAAGTTGTGGCAATTGCATCCCACACTGCTTTTGCCGTCGAAAAATGAATGAAATTGCCAATCAAGCTCTGCTCCAGAGAATTGATGAGCCATCCCTTCATAATAGAGTTCTCGTTGTGCCAGCGAGGAAACGTTGGAGCGGTCGTATGAGGTTATGGAAGATCGCCATTAATATATCTCAATTTGTCTTTGTCAGAGATATACAACTCTACAGTGGGACCATAGGGCATAGTTGGTGCCATCTAACTTTATGCCAATCTGTGCAGCGGAAGCTTCATAGGTAATCGTCGTCAGAATCGTTGTCTGATTTGGGTTCAAGGTCATCGTCTGATTCGAGTTCGGGGTCATCATCTGAGTCGAGGTCCGGGTCGTCTTGGTAGGATCCTGATTTAGGATCAAGTTCGAGGTCTGAGTCTGCATCTGCATTAGTTGAGCCACATGGGCACCCAACTAGGCTATGGTTGGTTGAGAAGGAGAGGAAGAAGTAGTGGTGCTACCGCCATGAGGATTAGAAGAGTCATCCTCCCCCATGGTGGCGGCTAGGGTTTAGAAACTAGACTCAGAAATCCCAAGATCGCCGCTCTGATACCATACTAAAATATGAAAACTATGAGAGAATATTTGTTTGTGGGAATTTTTCTGTGTATACTTCTCCTTGTAGGAGGTCATATTTATAATACAACAAAACCTGAATGGGCAAGTAAATAATAAATTCCTAAATCTATTTACAGTAAGAAATCAGGAATTAAAGTAAATCAATTATAATTATAATAGGAATTCTTGGTGTGTAAGGAAAGTAAGTCAATATCCACAACTCACGCCAACATCATGTCCTTCACTTTACTCCTCAATTGCCAAAGTTGCATGTAAAATCTAATAGCAACATATACGTATTGTTATACTGCTAAATTGATGATTTTAAATCTTAGTTTTTAGGATTAAATTGGTTTTGATAAAGTTGACTTATGTTTTTTTTAAATAAAAAAAAAAAAAAAAAAAAAAAAAAATGCCTGTGTCAATTTTCAGAAATTGGAAGTATCAAGGGAAGTATGACTTGGATATGCATTGGAACTGTGACACAAATCCAAAAAATTTGGAGGAGCTTCCAAGCACTTGGTGACAAACCTTTTGCCTACTGTTACTCTCTGAAACTAAGAGCTGGTGCTTTCTTAGCTCTAGGATATGAATACCATTATTAACATTGCTATAACATTTGTCCAATTGCATACAATGTTTGTGCAATTGCATACAGTTCCTGCAATTTTTGACCCCTTGTATGCAATCACCGATAATATGTATGTTTAAAGCAATTTTTGACCCCTATATGCAATTACTGATAATGTGGATGTTTAAAGAAGCGGTCGACCCTAAATTTTCAAAGAAAAGTATACTATTTTTAGTAAGTTTTATTTTCTTCATAATTTTTTAAAATTTCTCATAATTTTCAAATTGAGCTACTTACAATTCTCAAAATTTTAAGCTAAAACCAACCTTAGCACATTACTATGATCCCTGAACTGGTAGTTCTCATTATACGAGTCGTCTGTGAGGTAAATCGGCTCGTTCCTTGGGTAAATTGCGCAACGTGAGGGATATTTTACTCCGAAAATGTAAGGTGTTCATTCGATGAGTAAAAGATATTGTTGGATTGGTAAAGAAGGTGTCTTTGTCAATTTACTCCAAGAACTATCACTTTTTAATCAACCAATGAAGCCCTTACGTTCTCATAGTAAAATACCCTGTTCCTTGAGTAATTTACCTAAAGAACGAGGAGATTTACCTCACGAATGACTCTTTGTCTTTCATAGTGTAAAAGGTATCTTTGGATTGGCAAAGAAGGTTTCTTTGTCAATTTATTCTAGGAACGATCAGGTTTACTCAATGAATGAACCCTTTACGTTCACAGAGTAAAATACCCCGTTCCTTGAGTAATTTACATAAGGAATGAGACGATTTACCTCACGAAATACTCTTTGTTGTTCGTAGTGTAAAAGGTATCATTGGATTGGTAAAGAAGGTTTCTTTGTCAATTTACTCTAACAACGATCACATTTACAGAATGAACGAACCCCTTACGTTCACTGGGTAAAATACCTCGTTCGATGAGCAATCTACCTAAGGAACGAGAAGATTTACCTCATGAATGACTCTTTGCAGTTCGTAGTGTAAAGGGTATTGTTGGATTGGTAAAGAAGGTTTCTTTGTTAATTTACTCTAGGAACGATCACATTTACTCAACAGATGAACCCCTTATGTTCAAAGGGTAAAATACCCCATTGGTTGAGTAATTTACCTAAGGAACAAGGCGATTTACCTCACAAATGACAAAGAGTCGTTTGTGAGGTAAATAGCCTCATTTGTGACTTCTGCTTCAAACTTCTCTATTTTGTGCTGCTGGAAGCTGACTTGGTTCCCTAGCTCTTGATGCCCTCTTTCAACGAAGCTCCAAAGTCCTCTTGACAACAGTATAGTTCTCATCTTTACCTTCAAGAAATCATAATTTTCTCCTCCAAAGATTGGAAGAATATTTTCTCCTCCAAAGATTGGAAGAATAGTGTAGGAAACTAATGGACCTTCATTCACTCCTGATGACATCTTATAGAATTGATTCCAACGCCCACACATGAAGGAACGTTGCTCTGATATCAGTTGTTGGTTTTGTAATGGAATATGAGGTTGGAAATTATACGATGAGACAAATTTGAGGTGCCAAAAATATGAGTTGCTTCGACAGAGCTCTTTTGTAATTCCGATTCACTTAGCTTGTGTTGTTGTTGTTACAATGATAAGATCATAGGCTTTTTAAAGAGAACAATATACTCTAGAGAATTCTTCCTAGAGAGCTAAAACACATTGCATAGGAACTCTACCAACATAATTAAGTACAACTACAGCTGCTGTAATAAATAGAAATATTCTAGAGAATCAAGGAAGTGCATTAATTCCAGTGGAGCTGAAATGAGGGGTCCTTGGGGAGAAATTATAGAATAGTACCATACCACCACGTTAGCTGGTGATACTCCTATTCAAAATTTGACATGTGTATAATTTTTTGACAACTGGAGTATTCATTTTACCCTTAAAATTTTTTTTAAAATAATTTTAAAAACTTACAAATAAAAAAGAAAGAAAAACAAAAACCCAAAATTCATTTGCCTCATCGATGGCGACGAAGCCCCCTGTCATGACTATCTGTCTCTCTATCTGTGAATAAGATGACAACCATGTCAAATGAATTTGCTCTTGATATATGTTGAAAGCTTGGATTGCTCAAAGACCATAAACTCACCTCCAAGAAAGTTTCAATATAAATTCCTTAATCCCTACCCGTAATAGATAGGAGAGAGGAAGAGGGTGGAAGAGAGAGGGGAAGAGAGAAGGACACAAAGACGACATGAAAAAAGAAAGACCAGTGGCAGCCATGGCAGAAAGGTGGGGCCCGTAGGGGCTTTGTTGCAAGTTCAAAGAAGAGGTTGATGTTGCTGAGGAATTTTTTTATATATTATTATTTTAGATATTTCGATTTTTGTTAAATTAAATTTAAATTGAAAAAGAGATTTTAAATCCAGCTGTATAAATTTTAGATTTTTCTTTAAAATGTTGTACATATGTCAAATTTTGAGTTGGAGTATCACCGTCTGACGTGGTAGTACGGTATCTTTCTATAATTTCTCATCATTGAGTATCACCGTCTGACGTGGTAGTACGGTATCTTTCTATAATTTCTCATCATTGGGGTTTCGAGGGAGATAGATCACTGCGGTTGCAAGTGGGTGTAAAGGGCTGGCGTTGGGTTTTGGTTGGGGCAAATCGATGGGGTGTGGGCTTCCATAGGGTGGGGATGCTGTGATTAGGGAGGATGATGAAGATGGGAGAGCATAGTGGCAATAATAAAATCGGAGGAATAGAATAAAGGAGGTTCATCTTGGGTTTCTGGAGATAGGGTTTCGGTCTTGGGGAAGGCAAAGGTAGAGGAGGAGATAATTTTTTGTTTTTTTTTTTCACATCACAGTGAAAATGATTATTCTCACATTACAACAATACTAATTAAACTAAACTAATACTTAGATTTTGGAATACTTCATCCAAACGGACCATAAGATTATTCATAAACAGAATTGAAAGTGATTATTCTCACAACATAAGTCAAATTTATTACTTTTTCCACATAGTGCTACATGACCCTTGGATTTACAGAAGCATATTTAAGCAGCTCCGGGTTGCTTTCAAAATGCTCCATGGTTTCTTCACTCACAGTCAATAATGCTTCTATTCCCTTGCCATCTCTTTTATCAATCAAAATAACCGCATCCTTAAGTGGAATACTAGGAATGCTCACCCATGCCGGTTTTCCCCATCCGAAATCAGCTTCATAAAAAGCAAACCTGCACCAACTTGCACAGCTTAAATGGTCCATGTCAACATTCCTTCTCAACTTTCTATATTCTTGAACTCTTTGCCATGCTTTATTAGAATCAAATGGTTGTTTTGTAGAATAAGTTTCTTTCTGTTGCTCAAACCCTTTCCTGAGTTTAGCAACCAAGTCTTTTAGATCTATCGTCTCATCATCACTCTCTTCTTGACGTTTTAATAACGATGCTGTAGCGATGACTATTAAATTACTAACAACGTTCCCAGCCAAGTTTTGTGGCAAGGGTGGCTCAAACCTTCTACGCAAGTCCATAGGTAGTCTTAATGAAGACGGTCTTGACCCCAGTGCTATGTTTGATGATTTGGATGATGCTTCCATTGCACATTTCCAAATGAGTGCTAAAACTGCAAGGACACGTGTCGGCGCATGAGCTGGTGAAGGGCTGGCCAAATATGATTGGAGGGTGGCAATTTTTGAGGCATCAAACACAAATCTCTTTGTTATGTACTTGTGTTTACTGATGCCCACCAGCTTGGCTGATGATGGCTGTGATGAGTTTGAGAAATCTAGTGGTGGAAAATAAGACGCAGCATCAAATTTTGGGATCATGGAGGTTACATGATCATTGTCACCATCATCAAGGGCTGTTTTGGCCCAGCAACTGATGAAGGTGCTACATGTGGTGCCATCAACAATCTTATGTGACATTTTCAACCCTATTGCTATTCCTCCACACTCGAACAAGTTGAATTGCACAGCAAGCAACGGGAGCCTAGTGGCATCACCATCACCATCACCATCGCCATCACCATCAGGTTGACCAATTGCTGGGACGAGCCCTGTTAGCATCTCGGGATCTGGGTGTTCAAAAATCTGCGATAAGGAACATTTGACTCGGGCCGTTACGAACTCAGCTCCATCATCAGTGCATTGGATCATGTCATGGCCTTTACTCAATCTTCCTGCTAACGGGTAGAAGTGAGTGAGAGTTTTGGCTAATGACTGAATTAGATGCTGACAATAATCTCTCTCCTTCATCCTCATGTCCGCCATGTCTGTAGAAGGAGCACCACCTCCTGAACCACTAACATTATTGTTGGTGGTATAGAAGAAAAGCGTTGGGGGGTAATCTTCACTAGGAATCATCTGATCGAAAACAGAGAGCTGTAGGGTTCTCAAGGGATGAGGAGTTGGGGATGATGGTTTGACTGTTTGCCTCTGAATGATTTCAACCTTGATCAAATCTGTGGCCATCTTACTTTGTTTGCTATAGGTTATATCAAGTGTGTGCCCTACTGCTCTTTATAGGCAAAAGAAAGGATCTGCATAGAATAATAATGCCAGGTGGGATTGTTTATTGGTATATTAATGTGTTAGGTGGGATTTAACGAAGACGAGAAAACTTGTATTCGAAAATTCTTGGAAATTCCACAGGACACGTGGATGGCTCTGGAGCGCGCCTCTGATCGCAGTCGCTTTTGAGCGACTTGGAATAGAAAAACTCTTGTCCCCCAACGAACCTCTTCTTATTTTTTTGGTAACCTCAATGAACCTATTCATGTGTGGGGTTTTTATATTCTTTTTTGTGCCATGATGTGTGGGGTTCTATCTAAAAATCATATAATGAATTATTTAAAAGGTAATTTGTTGCTCTTGCTTTTAGCTTGAAAACAATGCATCATTAAAGCTGCAAAATATCACTTTCAAGACTACAAAAATTCTCCAAACCCACTATACTTGTAGACCACATTATAGTCTAAAGGGGGGACAAGACCTCCTTATTTCAAAGGCTGCGATAATTGTAGACCACATTATGGTCGACTCTGGCATACGGCGTGTTGCATACGGCATTCCTGATCTCGACATTAATTGATGTCCTATTCCTTTTGCATTGCGCAACTTATGGTAGCAAGTAAACCTTGAAGAATGAATATAATCAGAAACCTTAGATTCCTAAATTGAAATTAATAACAAAAGAAAAGAAGAGAGGGATGAGAGAGAGAGAGAGAGAGAGAGAGAGAGATGAGAGACGAGTGATGAGAGAGAGATGAGAGACGAGTGATGAGAGAGGGAAGAGAGAGAAAGAGACAAGAGAGGGAAGAGAGAGAAGACGCAAGAGGGAGGAGAGAGAGAGAGAGAGAGAGAGAGAGAGAGAGAGAAGAGAGAAGAAAAAAAACTGTAAAACCCCACTTTTTTTTTCTTTTTTTCTAATTGTGGCTTTTTAAAGTTGTTTTTGAGTTGGGCTTTTGAAAAATGGGTTGTACAAAATGCTAAATATGGTCTTTAGACTTAAAAATTGTTTTTGAGTTTAAAAAAATAGATCCAAATAGGATACCAAACAGACCCTAAAATACTTTGGGAATGAACAATAGTATAGATTCTCTCATTTTACCTTGACACAATATTTAATATCTTAAAATATTTAGCCTCAACACTCTTCTGAAATTTTTGTTTAAGAAAGTCATTTATAGTAAGTAGTAAAATTATATGGAACAAGCTGTATTCATATTGACCATCTCATCACCATCCTCATCCGCATATTATGCTCCTTCGTAATCAGCATCAACATTATCCTCCTCATCTTCGTCTTCAGTCGCATCAGCTATATTGACCTGTTTGTTACAGGTTGGGCACTCATTAGAGCGATGCTATGGTTTGGAACACCTGTAACACTGTAACAGATATCATTCTTCGGCCTAGTCGGCCTAGCATAAGGATTACTCCTTTGTTTACGATCTTTTTCCCAATTTTTGCTTATCACTCTCTCCAGGAACTTGTTTTACATCGATGTAGCAGAGGATTCATAACTTCTCTTTTTTATACCACTAACACTCGACCCAGTACGCTTTTCTTTCTCTAGTAATTCGGCCTTCAATGCCATGTTCTGTGCCTTATGAACTGTCCATAAAGTCTTAAACCTAATTTTCTCATGCAAAGAACTTCTCAGCCTAGTGATATACCTTGCGATCATCTGACCATTTGTTTCCTCCAAATTATTGCGCTGAGTCAAACCCAAAAATTCATCTGTATACTCAAAAACGGTCTGATTGCCTTGGTGGAAATTATGACAAAGCCTATACAGGTATTGCTCATAATCAACACGTAGGAATCTCCCCATAATCAACTGCTTCATACAGCGCGTCTTTCCAACTTCTCTTCAATTGCTTCCGCCATCTATTCTACATTGTTTATCATTTTACAAGGGAGAATAAAATAGAAACCTAAAATTAAAAATTAAAAAAAGAAGGGAGATTGGGTCGTGGTGGGCGATTGGTGAGAGAGCACCAACAGAGGCATTGGAATCCCTAAGTCATCATCCCCACCACCTCCTGACAATTACCCCCCAACCCTAACCCCTCCCCCACCCGACAATAATTTATGAATGTCTCATAAACGATAATTAAGGTACCAATAGGGTCTTAGTTGGATTGGCAAGACTTTCAGTGTGCTGTTAAGTGGTATCGTGAGTTCAAGTAACCATGATACCCGTGTGTGTGAGTTTAGCCCCATCCTTTCCTAACTTTGGAAAAAGAAAATTATAAATTGAAAAGCAAAAGCATGAGTCCTTCGTCGAGAAAGAGATTGGTGTTCTTGTTAATTGAATTATGAAACTTTGCTTTTGAAGTTTTTACTAAAATATGAGAACTATGAGAGAATATTTGTTTGTGGAAATTTTCTGTGTATTCATCTCCTTGTAGAAGGTCATATTTATAATACAACGGAGTCTTAGTGGCCAAGTAAATAATAAATTTCTATTTCTATTTACAGTAGGAAATTAGGAATTAAAGTAAATCAAATAAAATTATAATGGGAATCCTTAGTGTGTTAGGAAAGAAATTCAATGGTCCACAAGTCACACCAAGACTCCCCTTCACGTTGGTGCATAGATGTCCCGAATGCCGAACTGGTCGAGTGTGCTCTACTGGAAATTGTCTTTGTCAAAATATCTGCCAATTGATTCTCGGACTTTATGAAAGGAGACTAAATCACTTTAGCTTCGAGCTTCTGTTTGATATAATGTCGATCTACCTCGACATATTTGGTGTGATCATGTTGAACTGGATTCTGTGCAATAGCTATTTCATCCTTGTTGTCACAAAAGAGATTCATTACAGATGTAGGTTTATACCCAAGTTTAGTAAGCAACCTCTTTAACCAAATGAGTTTGCAAATTCCTTTGGTCATACCTTTGAACTCAGCTTCTGCACTAGATAAGACAACAACCTTCTATTTCTTGCTTCTCTATGTTACCAAATTACCTCCCACGAATGTGAAGTAACCGGATGTGGATTTCCTATCCGTTATACTTCTTGCATAATATGCATCTGTGTAACCATCAATATTCAGATGACCATGTTTTGAGAACATAAGTCCTTTTCCGAGTGCAGACTTCAAATATCTAAGTCTCTGAATAACTGCATTCATGTGGTCTTCACTCAGAGTGTGCAAAAATTGATTGACAACGCTCACCGGATAAGCAATGTCTAGCCGAGTATAAGACAAGTAGATCAATCTTCCTACTAACCTTTGGTATATTTATTTGTTAGTTGGAACTTGATCCTGATATTCTCCAAAATGATGACTATGAACAATAGCAGTGTCTATAGGTTTGCAATCTAGCATTCCTGTGTCTGTCAACAAGTCCAAGACATATTTCCTTTGAGAGAGAAATATGCCTTTTTGTGATCGGGCCACCTTAATCCCCAAGAAATATTTGAGTCCACCTAGATTCTTCACCTCAAATTTAGTAGCCAAATAGTATTGTAGCCGAGATATTTTATGTTTATCATTCCCAGTAATAATCAAGTCGTCAATATAGATTATTAAAGTTGTTACCTTCCATTTATGATGTTTCAAGAACAGAGTATGATCTGAGTTACTTTTTCTAAAACCATTGTTCTTCATTGGCATGGTGAACCACCCAAACCATTCACGTGGTGATTGTTTCAGTCCATACAACGCCTTTCGTAATTTGCATATTGTTATAGTCTGAGTAGTATTATATCCAAGACGAATGTCCATATACACCTCATCCGTGAGTTCTCCATGTAGGAAAGCATTTTTTACATCAAACTAGTATATATAGTGGCCATTCCAAATTAGCTGTGAGGGACAGTAAGACTCTGACTGTGTTCAATTTTACAATTGGTGCAAAGGTTTCGTCATAATTTACGCCATAAGTCTGTGTGTACCCTTTCGCCACAAGTCTTGCCTTGTATCACTCGATAAATCTATCAGCGTTGTGTTTTGTGGTAAACACCGATCTACACCGACAGTCTTTTTCCTCATGGTAAAGTTTCCAATGTCCAAGTTTGATTCTTCTCAAGAGCTTTCATCTCTTCATTTAAAGCTTAAACGCACTTATGATCTTTAAATGCTTCAGCAATCTTAGTTGGGATATGAATACCAGACAATTGATGTACAAAGGCCTTGAGTGGTTCAGACAACTTCTCAGTGGATACATGATTCGCAATTGGATACTTTGATGTCTTGCCAATATCAGGTGAATAATGATTTGGTGGCTTTCCACAATTCTACCTGAAAGGTAATAGGTATCCAATATATTAATCCTCTAAATTCACATGCGTAGTAGGAGTAGTTACCTCAATGATATTCTCAGGAGATTGGTTCGTTGGTGCTTTAGAGGGGGGTCTTCATCTCATTGTTCTGTATTGTCTGTAGGTATAGGACTCGGATTAGAAATATTTGTGCAAGGATTAGGCGGGTCTGGTGATTGATCAATAGGTGATTGATTGCTTTTCGGCAGAGAGCAATCTCGTGCTCCATATCATTTTTGTAGAAAAGCAAATTTCTTCATTTTCCAAGTTGCTCCAATTCTGCTCTTCACTTTATATCTCCTTCTGAAGCGTAGAATTTGAGGATGGGTCATGGGAAAACATCTTAGATTCCAGAAAGGTCACATCCAAAATGACATAGGTACGTCGGGTAGAAGGATGATAACAACGGTAGCCTTTTTGATAAGTGACATAACCCACAAAAACACAACGAAAGGCATAGGGATCAAGTTTGCTACGTTGATTTTTGTAGAGATGAACAAAGGCCATACATCCAAAAATTCAGGGTGTGAGTACCAAAACAGAAGGCAAGGGTCCGTGTTGCGGAAGCACTTGTATGGGAGTTTTAAAGGTCAATACACCAGAAGGCATATGGTTGATCAGGTGAACTACGGTGACAATATAGCATTATCCCAGTGATGGCAAGGAACATGAGCACCAATCAGAAGTGCTCGGGCGGTTTCAAGAAGATGTCAATTATTTCGTTCAACAACACCATTTTGTTGTGGTGTCTAAGGACAAGTTGCCTCACGAATAATTCCATGTTGTTGGAAGTAAGCCTGAAAGTCATGATTGACAAATTCCCACCATTGTCTGAACGAAGAATCTATATTTGAGCATTGAACTGAGTTTTCATCTCTTTGTGGAAGAATTGAAAACAGGAAAACACTTCATTTTTATTCTTCAGCAAATAAACTCATGTCATCCGTGTACCAGCATCTATGAATGTGACAAACCACCAAACGCCAGAAGAAGCAATGATAGGTGAACGTCCCTAGACATCAAGTGAATTAACATAAACGGAGTAGTGCACTTGTTTGTACTCAACAAACAAGTCACACGGTGACCCTTGGCCAAAATATAAGTATCACATGTGAAGTCGAAGTCCTTGAAACTTGAGAATAAATTTGATATACGATTATTCATATAACTAAAAGATAGAAGTCTCAATTGACGGTGCACAACCAGATTTGATGTGGTTTGCTATGAGAAGAATGTGTTACACTGTTAGTCATGTCAAGACTGAAGTCTTCAACATAATATAGCCTCCATTTTTTAGCACCACAACCAAGAATCTCCTTAGTATGAATATCCTAAAGCAAACAAAACTCGGGTAAATGAGTACACAACAATTCAATTGTTCAATAAGCTGACTAACTGGCATAAATTTATTGGATGAAGATGGAACAAGTAAGGTACTAGACATTGAGAGAGAGGATGAGAGTGCAACAGTGCCAGCCCCTGTCACAGGATAAGTAATTCCATTGGCGTTAGCAATACAAATTCGTCGAGGTTGGATAGTATTCAGAAAATCATCAGGATCAAACGTAATATGATCAGTTGCACTGGAATCAATTATCTAGCTCGTAGAATCACTCTTATTCGAAGTATATAGAATCCATCACCAGTACTGAGTGTACAAATTTCCCCACGAGAATATTCGGTTGCAAAGATTCCTTTTCCTTCTCCGCCTCATCTATCTCCCTGAAAAATAGAACAAATGAGAGGGCCACACCCGGGGGGTGTTGGCCAAAGGCCCTCCGTTGCCTAAATTAGTTCAATTGAATCGTATAGAAAACAATAGCTAACTAGGGTACGGAGATGTGTTTTTGGTGTACACCGGGCGGCTGGAGCCTTATGTAAAAGTGAGAGAGAAAGGAGGTGGCTAGGGTTTGAGAGGAATTTTCTGCAGAGTTTCAATAGGGATTTCAGACGTACCTCAACCCTTGTGTGTGGCCATGCTTTTATAGTGGTCTCAGAGGCTAGGGTTTCAAAGGAATAATTCCGTAGATGGAAGAGAATTATTCCTCCCCTATTTGGAATTGATTTGATTAATTAGAGATTTGATTTATTAGGGTAAGTCAAATCCCTAATTGTGGTAGGTATCAAATCAAATCCCATTTTAATTAGGTAACTCCTCATTTAATTGGGAATCGTGGTAGGAATCAAATCAATTCTCAACCCAATTAGGTAACGTTCAATTTAATTGGGTAATTCCCAATTAAATTGAGTAACTCCCAATCAGATTGATTAATTCTCAATTAGGTCAAATAATCCCCAAATTGAATGAATTATTTAACCTAGGGTTTTGATTTAATTTGGTTACCACAAGTACCATTACAAGTTGTATCATGTTGTGTTCGATATTTGAGACTATATCCACTATTTTCTTCAAGTCAAGGTCAACCACTTGCAATCGACCCATATTTTTATTGTCATTACAATTATATTCACATGTATGTCAGATGAGAGACTAGATGGGTTAGGCAAGTTGGCTAAGATAATATGCCCTCCTTCTTGCATTAGATTTTGATCATGCTCTTCGCACATTGGAGAAGTTTAGAATGTCGCTTTATCAAAAGTAATAAAATTGTCTTA